ACACCCGCACCAAGGCGTGGGACAAGGCGCGTACACCATGCGCGCCGTGAGCCTCGAGTCTTCGGAAACCAACCGCCTCGTGGGCGAGGGCGACGACGCGGAATCCGACGAAGAAGAAGTAGATGATTGTGAATTCGAACATATCCCAGAAGATGAAGAGGAAGTAGTACTGTGTGATTGTGTTAGTGAAGGGACAGCTTGTAGGTTTGTAAAACGAAAAGGCAAAGGCAAGATGTAGAGCAAAAAAAAAGGTGTAAAGACGAGAAGAACATACCTTCCACCCCGCCCCCGAAAACGCAATCCCCGTAACAAACGTATTATAAAAATTCGCCACATTAACCCAAAAGTTATAAAAAGCCATCCCCTTCGCCCGACTCTCATACCGCAAACACTCCACCGGATACAACTGCTGCAAAGGCGTATAACCCGTACTGTAAATAAACCCACAAATAAACACAAACGCAATTACCGCTCTCGCCTGCCCCGGCCGCTTAATATCAGGTGTCCTCCCATCATCCAGATAAATTGGCTTGCCATCCTCTCCCGTTTTCAAATTCGTAGCAACGAGCGCACACACAATGGCGAAGACGCCGACGAGCAAGCCCGTGGAAACCAGTAATTGTGGTCTTCGGCCCCAGGAATCCGTGTAGACGGCGCCGAAAATGGCGCCGCTGAAGGAAACGACGTTTTGCATGCCGTTGAAGAGGAGACGCGTGTGGTTGCTTGTGATGCCGGCGCCTTGTAACATGGTTGGGTAGTAGTAGCTCACAGGCCCGTTTCCAGACCATTGGCCGAAAAAGGCCATGGCGACTACGAGCATGGTTCTATACCGCGCTTCGCGCGAGTTGAAGAGTTCGCGGTAGTCCCACCAGCGTTTGTCGGAGCCGGTGACGCTGATGTCTTCGACCATTTCTTTGTATTCGAGTTTGACGATGGGGGAGTCGCGGTTGCCTTCGCCGTGGAATTTTGCCATTGTGTCTAGTGCTTCTTCGTGGCGGTCGTTTGCGATGAGCCATCTATCTGTTCATCAGTTCCTGGTTTCCCCTGACACCATTGACCCGGGGATAGTATACTTACCGAGGCGTCTCTGGTAGAAACGGTGAACAAACTAGAACAATACCTGCAAATATCATTTGCAGAAAGATTGGAATCCTCCAACTTTGACTCCCGGCAATGTTGCTGGTTCCATATGGCACGAAACTTCCTGGAATACCACCAACATACCAGAACGTATTGAAAATTCCCGTGCATACGCCTCGATAACTTGGATGCGCCATCTCACTGACATACGCCGGTCCCGCCGTAGAGGTAATCGCAACACCAAACCCCAACACGAATCTCCCGCCCATGAAACCGCCTAGGTTAGTGCAGGTAGCTTGTATGCACGCGCCGAAGATGATGATGGACGTCCCAATGAACATTCCCCATTTCCTTCCTTTGAAATCCGTGGCGGGGCCTGCGACAAACGAACCGACGAGGTTACCGATGGTGTAGATTGCGTAAACGATACCGGTGGTGGGTGTGCCTTCGTCGATGTTGAAGCCAAAGTAGGAGCGGTATTGGTGGTAGCTGTTTATTGCGCCCATGAGAGAGCCGTCGTAGCCGTTTATACATGAGTTGAGGGTTGCGATGAAGAGACAGAGGTAAAGCTGTGTTGTTGCGATTGATCAGTAAGGATATGTTTTGTGAGGATTAATGGAGGGTATAAGGTACCTTGAACATGGCTTTTGTCCATGGCTTCACATTCGCCTTTGCCGTCGCATCGGCAAAAGCAACATTTTGCACCTGCCGTATATCCGCCGTCGTGCTCGAGCTGTGTGAAGTATGCACCCCACTTCTCTTTTGTCGGTGATCCATCTTTTCCATCTCGTAAACCCAAGCTAAGCTGTATCACAGCAGCAGCGGCAGCCGCAAGAAAAAGGAACGAAGACCAAACAATTCCCCCAAGAAAATATATAAGACGATGAATAGAAAAAGGCTTCAACAGCTGAACCTTTCACAAACCAAAGTCAAGCTTCCCAGGCAGGCGGCCTTGACATGCATGGAAGGTGGAAGGAAACGGGGCATCTCACACACATCAGCACATCAGCAACCCAGCATGCATCAGCACACTACACAATACCAGTTACCTACAAAAAACAAAGTAAACCCCGGAACCTGGGGTTTGATAGTTAAAGTGCCGTGCGTGCATTGCGTGTGTACCAGTAGTCCAGTCCGCCCCCCAATATACATGAATATACCACGCGACGTCCTTCCAAAGGAGCGATCCCACCGTTCCAGATGCCTTCGCCCGTCCCCACCACCTTGGCGAGTTAAACAGCGTTAAACACCCCAGTTCGAAAAACTGGGCGGACTCGGAGCAAGGTGCGGGCGGCACAGTTACGGTACAATGTGGCAAGGATGAGCGCCCCGGGTTATTTAGCCAGATGCCCACAACTTCTCGCGTGCGCCGATTGGGCTAGTAATATCAGAAAAAGTGCTTAGTCTTGTGTTGTGTAGCCAATCCACCTCATTGCCATGTCCCCTTGTTCCTAACGGTGTTTTGCATAGCGTAATCGTCCGCCATCTACATTCCATTCTGTTGGTGGAGCTGTGAGGCCTGGTCATCGGGTCGTTCAAACCCCTCCCTTCATAACGTTATCTACCGAATCAGCATCGCGTCATCCCATCCACCGTCCCATGCACATGCATGGAAGGATTACAAAAGGGCTGGAAGCTGAAAAAAAGAAGGCCGCCCGTCATCTCCACATATACTCTCCATCCACTCACGTCCGCATGTGCGAATCCTCGGAAACGAACTGTGCCACAGCCTTACATGTCAGTTACGGTAGGTGCGGTGCGAAGGGGGAAACGAAGACCAGGCACAACAAGGGTTCACTAGGTAAAACCGTTAAGCTATCACATTCACATCACATCACTTGTGATGTGATAGTGGCGGCACCCCCGTTTCCGTCATCGTTCCCGTCGCCGTCCAAAAAACGTATGTTACTCCGGTGGTCGGACTTGAGCGTATGTACATGTGTGGGGTGGGGGAATTGGGAACCGCCGGGCGAGCCCTAGTTAAACCACACTAGCGGTCCGAAGAATCCGGGGAAAGAAAGGAACGTCGTTCCGCTTCCCACGCCTATCTCGCATTTCCCATCTCCACACATCACTTGATAGTAATCTTCCATTTTTTTGTCCTACTACAACTCAAGAAATTACTCTACATGGTTTTACGATTACAGAGATCCGTGCTTCTCTGTCGAAAACTTGTTCGCGCATTTCTAAACTGCAGTGTTTCCATCCATCGCAGGTGCCGAATCAAATAGATCTACATACCCACATGGCTACTCGCCACATTAATCTAAACTATATATTAAACACACACGCACACTATGGCAATATCATACCTACTATAATATCCGATTCCCCACAATATAAGTCGTGTGTGACCGCGTGATACCCATCTATATACCTACACCTACATACATGTATCTCGACTCCACAAACCAGGTTCGGCATTTATATATTGCCTGCACTTTAGGAGCCGGTGGGCAGTTGTATGAAAACCTAGTCGATAATATACTGTAAGTGTTCTAGAAGGACGGGAAGCGTAATCGGCATTACCGGTAACATCACGGGTGAGCAGTAAAGAAAGGGCCGAACCGGGGCGGGGGTGGGTGGATAACGTCACGCACTGGAAAGGTAGACCAAAAAGAAATGTATCAAAAGATAAAAAACAACGACATCGTCAAAGATAACACAACCCTTGGCTATTATACATACATCCATGCGGCAGCAACCCGGGCTATCTCTAAAACCAGGCCGGTTGTTTGAGGGAAAGATGGCTTTGATTACAAGCCTCCTTTGGGAACCTGAGATTATCAATGTGCAAAATAAGCTACAATCATCCCCTTCCACACCAATCACTCGTTCATTTCCTCCCTTCTTCTTCGACGCCTAATCGTCATCGTCCGGGTTTGTATCAGATTCGTATACAAACTCGCCTGGAGTGGATGCCTCGGCGTGACCCTCATCCACCATATTGTCACTGACCGGTGCTGCAGCAGTTGTTACTGATATGCCTTCATGTCCTTGGTCTGCCGAGGAACCCGATGCGCCAGGAGCGGGTGCGGGTGCAGCCTTCTTTACCTTGAGCTCGAGGAGCGTCTTGGGTTCTGAAGGCTTGGTGTCGGTAAGAAGAATTACACCAAGGGTTGGCTGTTAGTGTGTTAGTTAAACGATGTCCGTTTCGCATATATTGGGTGAGACGACTAACCTTCTTCACTGGAACATATCGTTCGCTTGGGAAGCTAATGTACTTGACTTGCGGCGGAAGTACACGCGACATGTTCTCCAGCTCGTAGCCAACCTTCTCCTTCTCTACCTTCTTCTTCGACGACTCTACTGTTTGTGCTCGGTCGGCGTCTTCCTTCTTAGCGTCCTCGTCAATGTCCATCTTGTCGTCATCTGCAGATGGCTTCGGTGTGTTGGGAGTATGGTCGACATCCATGCTCTCCCTTCGCTTTTGACGCTCCTTGACCATGCGTCGTCGCTTATCTTGAGCAGTGGTCGACAGGACCGCAGTCTTGATCTTCTCGGGCGCCTCCTCTGCCTTGACCTCTGCGTCTGGGGGGTAATCAAACATGCTTGGGCGGGTGTTGCTGTGGAACTTGAAGGAGGGAATTTCAAGCTCTTGGTCCAGACCAATGACGGCAGTAGGTGTGAAGCTGAGCGACAGGAAATGGGTCAAGGGGAACCAGTACCAGTACTGAGTGAAGACAGCCATGCCGACAATGGCCGCCATATTGAGGTTACCGGTCGGCGTCTGCAGACCGATTGTGCAGTTTCTACCTCCGGCATCGATGATACCAAGAGCCAACGCGCAACCAAACTTGGCCATTGCATCTTCGTGGCGGTCGCCAACAACCTTGGCAAGCTGCTTTCGGATGGATGCCACCTTGGGGTTCATTGCCTCGTTTTGCTGTACCATAATCATGGACAACGCAATCAAAGCACCTTGTCGGACAAAGTCGGTGGAGTCCTTCATCATGGGCTCCAATAGATCTACCGCCTCTGGAAGTCCAGTTCCAGCACATGCGATACCGAGAGCCATTGTAGCTCCGTAGCGGACATGTGGGTTGTACGACTCTGCAAGAAGTTCGACCATGCGGGGGACGCTGCCTGGCTTTCGGAAGAGAATGAAACCCAAGCTCATGACGGCGACTCGTCGTACGTCATCACTCACGTCGCTGACGGCAACATGGAGCAGCCTGCGTACTGCCTTGTTGCTGCCTGTACCACAGTACGCCAAAGCAATGGTCATGATACCTCCATAGCGAAGGGTTGGGTCGGGGTCATCGAGAAGACCATTGATGAGCTCATCAGCAGCCTCTTGGCGCGCATACATGATGAGTGCCATACCCATGGCAAGACCGCGGACAATCTTTTCGTGCTGTGTGTCATGCGCATACTGAATCATGTCCTCGAGTGCCTTGATATTGCCAGTGCCGAGCATGACAAGACCCATGGAGAGACCGACAGCCTCACCATTGATGGCGGAGTCGGTGTAGAGGACGTTCTTGAACGCATCGAAGATCTCTTCGGAGCCTGTGGCCATGCCGGCAACACCGAGACCAAGCGCACCACCGTGCTGAATGACTTCTTCAGACGCATTCTGGAACTGCTTGAGGAGCAAGTCGAGGACGTTGCTTCCATGGTTGGCATAAATCAGACCAAGAGCGTAAAGTGATCCACCTTGCTCGTAGTGAGAGCCCGAAGAAACACTGTCCTTTGGCAGGTAGGGCTCCAGGAGCTTCTGACCTTGGGTAATGTTGCCACGGTGGATCACACCAAGAGCAGCGGTCGCTGAGAACTTGGACCAGTTGACGGCCTTGCCTAACCAGTCGAGGTTCTCACGGAAGAATGTGTCATTGGTAGTACCTGCGTTCATGAAGGCATTTGCAAATGTGACGCTGGAGTGGAAGATGGAGTTTCGGGCCTCTAAGCTGTCGCGGATCCTGTTCAGTACAGCCTTGTCTGTGCGGTTGTTCCTGTACAGGAATTCGAGATTCAGCTCGATGCTCTTTGTTCCCCGGAGAATGTGGCGGACGGAGCCGAAGGCCTTGAGTTGATCCTCAGATGCCCCCTTTGCACTTGAGACGTTGCTGGTGTCTGTATTTCCGAGCAGTGAGTCCGACTCGCCTGCATCGGCCTTTTGTGACGCATCGCCGCTGGTCTCCTCCTTTTCAGCTTCAGGCAGCTCCTCCATGACCTTTGCAAGGAACTCCTGTGTACCGTTTTCATAGAGGTCGAATGAGATCTGGTATGCGACGGCGCGCGACCTGTCATCCCCCCTTTCGATGAGTTGCCGAACGAGCTTCGAAGCGAGAGAGTGCTGGTTGAGGTAGACGACGCACTTGGCAATGGAGAAGTAGTCGGGGTTCGGGATTTGGTCGTCATTGAGGAGATCGAGGATCAGGCGGAGGATTTCGTTTCGCAGCCCTCGCTCTTGCACGACGTTCATGCAAATGTCGAGAACGTACTCCATCAAGTCCTCACTCTGCGCTGATGGCTGTGCAGGCTTCTTACCCTGCTTCTTTCCATCTTGGCTCGCGCGGACAATTGCCTCTCGCAGAACTTCGAGATTCCGGGCCTCGATGGCAATTCCGACAACCTGCTTGTAGTTGCCACTCACATAGCAGCTCTCAAATATCCGCCGTACAGTGCTGTGGAGGTTCTTCTGCACGTTCCGCTGCAACACCATGGGTGTGGGGTGAGCCCCAGCAACTCCCGCGTTACCCCCTCCAGGCACCGTAGGGTCAAAAGTCGACGAGTCTTCCCTAGAAAGCAGCGACTTGGATGGTAATGCGGACTGTGAGAAGGGCGTTATCGGCGAAGCTAGACTGGCCGAAGTGCTAGAGCCACCCGCCGCATTTCCGGAGAAGGATGTGCTGAGCTGCGGGGGAGCCTGGCTTGCTTTGCTGACCGGTGTCGGGGGGTTGTGCATGACAGAGAGGGCGATGTAGGTGTCTAAGCATTTCGCTGGGAAAGCAAGTTAGCCAAATAGCTCTCAAGTGATACAAGATGCAATGTCTCGCGCAGAGTGATGGCCATGCGAGTAGCCGGTGATGTCTTACCTAGTATCGTCTCCTCAAACTCAGCAGCCTTGTGGATATCAAACAGCTTGCCCGCACCAAGTGCAAAGACCATGCTCTCATTGTATTCTTGCAGCTGGTAGTACACCTTTGCTGCTACCAGAGCTGCAAGCTCTCGCTCCGGAAACGATTCATCCTCGTAGAGTGCCTCACTATGACGCGCCATGTTAGCAGATGTATTTCAATGGCAATAAACCATCCACGGTATGTGAAAGCGCATCCAGGTCTTACATTTGACTGACAGAACCCGCGACTTCTGGCCAGAGCAAGTCAATCTCCTCATTCAGTCGCTGTAGAGCGAATGAGCGCAAGGCTGGGTCGGGCTCGGAGAGGAAGCCAACGACACCGGCGGCGGATGTGAGGCCGACCATTGTGTTGTACTTGACTGGAGCAAGGCGTGGTCGGGTGACCGATCGTGGTGCTGAGGAGACAGGGAGCTATTGGCGAAGTGGGTGGAAGCGTATGGAGCTGCGCTGTGGCGCTCGGGGGTTTGCCTGCCTTGCAAGAAGAATAAGGGACCGTGCTGCGTCGGACTTTACAGTGGTGGTCACAGTGAAAGAGGGACGAGAAGCTGATGGGCGGGTGATGGGGATGGCGTGGACGCCGTGGTGGTGAGTTGGGGAATCGTGTACGTGATGGTACCAAACACAGCTCGTAGTTTCGGAAGCGGCGACCCTTGTCCGCCCCAAGCATGACATAATACACGGTTCACTAGCTGCGCATTACTCCAGGGCTCCCACGATAAGCTCCCTGTCTGCCTCACTTTAGGTACTACGTAGTACCGCATTGGGATGACTGTCTGCACGTGTACGTAAAATCAGGTGCATTGGTTGTTTTGCGACATCGGAACCGCTTCCGAAAGCTCGCCAGGCTTCGTATGTCAGCAACGAACCCATCACATGTCAATGTAGCTTGCACAGGATCAATGTGTATTGAGTATCGGGTATCATGTGATTAAAAGTACAAAACGCCGTTCAGAGATGCTGGACCAAGCTTGATAGTCCTTGCCTGATGCTTTAAACGCCATAAAAATAGTGATATTATACAACAGTCACTCCCCTCAAGCCCCAGGGGGGCCTGTGATCTCTCGCGAAAGCACTCGCAAGTTGTTCATCATACCGTTGATCAGGCTCTCGTACCTGTTTGCCTCGTTCCTCCGCGCCTTGTCTGCTTCTGCTATGAGCACGTCCGAAGTCAGCTCCAACTCCAGCTCGTGATTCTTGCTGGGTCCTTGTGTGACTTGAGTCAGATCAACTTGGTATGCGCCCAACCACGAGTAAGACATGCGGTCTTTCTGTCGCTTCATAGACTCGACCGTCTTGCCCCCCTCGACGGCGGGCTTCAGGCTTTCAACGGAACCCGGAAAGTCGATTTCCAAGTTGATGCCGATGCGGTAATCCCACTCTGTCTTGGGCGAGCTCACCTCAAGGTTGCCGATGCGGTGCTTTATGATGGCTCGTAGAAATTCGCCCGTGTTCTTATCGCGGGTTACGCGGACGCGCTGGCGGGAGCCGGACTGGTTGATGAGCTGCTGGACAATGGGGTTCAACTTAAGAAATCCCTCCTGGTCGAGCTCATAGAACAAGTCCGTCTCGTACGTATGCCGGTAATCTATAGCTGGACGCGAAGAGCTGGGCTGTTTGGAGTGCCGGACCTGCGTGTTGAGATACATATTCATGCGTTGATGCTGCAGCGCCGTCATAGTACTTTCAAACTTGACTTGGATGGCTTCAGTGTTCAGCACGGTTTCAGTGCGCCAGAAGCCTCGCAGGCGCTGGCTGCTCTGCGTGTCTATTATCTGGCCCCAACGCGCCTCTACTTCCAGCTGGACCCTGGGGTCCGAGATGGCTTTGCGCACCATTTCATTATTCACGGCAGTGGTCCATATAAACTCGCATACATGGTGCGACACGTCGTCGTAGATGAATGCAGCGTCGGAGATGGGGCGCTCAAAGGGTGGCGTCACTCTAGCGTCACTGGACGGAGGTCCATTCCGCTCGACCATGGGCGAGGAGTGTTGTCGCTGTGGAGGATGGGCAGGCGCGGGTTGCGCGTGGACGACATGCGGCGGCTGGACGGCAGGTGCAGACGATAGGGTGGGTTGTGGTGGAGGCGGACGCGACTGCTTGCGTTGCTGTTCCTCAAGCGCCTTGAGCTCCGGCGGCAGCTCTTCGCCCTCGCGATAGGCCCATATTGGCTTTGGGTCGTTGCGCTTGCGCTTGGGTGACATCTGCTTATGAATCGTCTTAGGCGACGGCGTGGGAAGCTTCGCGGCTGGGGTGACGGGGGAAGATGCAAAGAGGGAATGGGGGTGAGAGAACGAACGGCGCGGTGGCACCGCTGCTTCCCCATCATGGTTCACTAGCGCAGATATGTCCATGGTGGGTGTGGTAGGGTTGTGCGTCGGTCAATGTACTCACCATTGTCTACGGAGGGCGTGTTGCTGTCCGCACGGACGTCGACTCAACCCCGGTCACTCTTTCATCGCCTTGTCTTCTTGCAATTGGATGTCGCCATCATCTTTGCCCCCTTTAGCAGACGGAAAGCACTATTCAAGAGGGAAGCATCAGAAAGAGCGACGTGGTCATTACGAGGTTTGCTTTCATTCCACTAGTGTTTACACCAAATCTTGTGTTAATGCGCCAGACCGTCATTTGCTTCAGCGAGTCATGTATATGCGCCATGTGCGGCCCTCTCCACATCATGCACCAGCCCTAACATCCCCTACCCTCCTACGCCCCAACGCTGCCTCTACGCGTCTTGGTCGAGGCCAAGGTCCTCCTGTGCTGGCACAATGCGGAGTGTGTTGGTATGGCCCATGCCGCCCCTCCAGCCTTGCACGCAAATGACCGGATCGCCCTTGCTGAGCACTCCCAGCTTGATGGCGTTCATGATACCCCACTTCAAACGGCGGTCAACGTCCTCCTGCCATGGCTCCGTCTTGAAGTCGGGCTTCTGTTCGGGGAAATAGAACGGGTACACGCCGCGGTACAGGTGCGAGTACTGCTATAATTAGCCATGGGAATCCTTGCACGTGGAAAAGCAACTTACCCTAGCAGCCATCTCGTTACGAGTGACCATGATGATGGGGCACACTGGCCGGTACTTGGACACGAGCCGGGCCGTGGTGCCACTAATGCACGTTAGTATACCATGCGGGTAAAATACTCCATACAACTCACCTCGTTGTCAGCACCAAGATGGCGCCAGCGTTCTGCTCCAGACTGGCACTGACGGCTGCCATGGCGCATGTCTCGGTTGTAGGGCAGGGCACGGGAGCGAGCTTCCTCAGCTCGTCAAATGCGTTGACGTATGGGATAGCGACCTCAGCGAGCAGGCACGTCTCGTGCATCATGGTAACAGCCTCGACAGGGTAGTCACCCTTGGCAGTCTCACCGGACAACATGACACAGTCGGCACCGTCGAGAACCGCGTTACCGACATCGCTGACTTCAGCACGTGTAGGGCGGGGGTTGTAGGTCATGGACTCGAGCATTTGGGTGGCGCAGATGACGGGCTTGCCGGCAATGTTGCACTTTGTGATCATCATCTTCTGTGCGATGAAGACCTGGCTGGGAGGAATCTCAATACCAAGGTCACCACGGGCAACCATGACACCGTCGGTTTCCCTCAGGATCTCGTCAAAGTTGTTGACACCCTGCTGGTTCTCCACCTTGGCGATGATCTGGATGTCCTTGCCCTCCTCGCCGAGCACCTCGCGGATAGCGGTAATGTCGCTGCCGCGGCGGATAAACGACGCAAAGACCATGTCGACCTTGTTTTTGACACCGAACCTGAGATCGGCCTTGTCCTTCTCCGATAGAGGAGGAAGGTCAATGTCCGTCTTGGGCAGGTTTACACCCTTCCTGGACGAGATCTTGCCGTTGTTGACGCACTTGCACTTGAGCGTCTTGTCGTCTGTGACTTCGAGCACCTCGAATGAGAGGACTCCGTCATCGACGTAGATTGTGCGGCCAGGGGCAATGACCTTTGTGATGTTCTTGTAGTCGACGTACATGTTCTTGTCGTCGCAGGCTGTGGCGTACTTCTCATCGGTGGTGATGTTGATGACGGCACCAGCCTTGATGGGGATATCGGCATCGTCAACAGTGTTACCTGTTCGGATTTCCGGGCCCTTGGTGTCAAGGGCAATAGCCAGAGGCCTGCCAGGCTGTGTCTTCTCCGCCTCACGCGCGTTGTCAATGACGGACTGGTGGTACTCGTACGAGCCGTGGGAGAAGTTCATGCGGACGACATTGAGACCGACTTTGCGGAGCGAGTTGATCTTCTCGGCGGAGTTGGTCTTGGGGCCGATGGTGCAGATGATGGATGTTCTCCGGTACTGCTTCGCCGGTGTGTACTCAGTGTTGAGCTGGCTGAGCCACTCGATCCTGGTCCTGCCGGAGTTGAGGTGGTCTAGACTATCGGACTTGTCAGCGGGCGCTCAAGCTTGTGAAGAGGGGGAGATATTGGCAGCTTCAGTGCACAACAAGTCTTGTTGAGAATGGAAGAAACAGGTTGTACGTACGCGTTCGCCATTTCAGTAGATTCAACTGGAGTATGAAAGTAAGTTGAGAAGCGGGAAAGGCTGCGATCTTGTAGATTGCGGTGGGCGGGGCCGATGGAAGGAGTATTTCCAATTGAGTCCGACAGCTGCAGGGGTGAGAGAAGAGAGAATGGAAGTGGGATAGAGCTCGCTGAGATCGGAGGAAATGGGAGCTTGCTCGACTTTATCTTCTCTGTGACGGGCTAGAAGTTTTGTCGGACCTTGTTGACCGTGGTTTGGAGGGGCAGTAGTAGCGGCGCTAGCAGTGTGAACCCACGGTTAGTACGTGGGGCGGTACCCTGAGCGGCGTGCGAAGGTTTGGATATGTCAATTGGTAACAGAACGCGAAGCTGACCGGTAGGCTTGGAAGGACTTGGACCGACTTGTATCAACAGAGTTTGCACGGTGGCCAAATGGCCTGCTGACTGCATCTGAACCTGGTCCATAGGGGAGGGTTCGTGACACGCATTGCTTCTTGCTCCGCCCACGTTGCTGCATCATTGCCCTCCAAGCATGCCGCCCAGATAACGTCTCAAACACACGCTGTACATGTCCGGTGCAATTGGAAATCTCGGCGCCGTACTCGCTTCTCCATGGGTCCTAAGTGGCTTAGCGGGCTGGGATATCGGTGCGCGGCCGGGTGCTGGCGCCTTCGCCGTTCCTCTACCCGCGTGGAGGGGCGTGGTGTCTTGGGAGTTTCATAGCGTCAAGGCGATGAGAAATGTTCTGCATCAAGTTCGTGGCAGGCCCCGTTATATATCGCTGGTACCTGTAGCATGGCCCGCTCCTAGATCACCCGCATCCGCTCCGCATCGCCGTATGCCCGAGGTTGAGAGAAGCTTAGACAGGGTATGGTCGAATTTGAAGCCAAGTGGGATTTTCATCGTTTATAGCTTGCACCGAAACATGGCAATTGGAAATTTAGAAACTCAACTACACATGCACGTCTGAATACCAAGACTTGAAATAAGCTCAAATGGGCCAGATGCTCGTAGTGTCGCATCTCGGCCATGGACATGGGAACCCTGGAGTCGCGTGCCAGCTCAGGTAGCCGCTTCAATCACATGCATCAAAGTGACTAAGGGAGGGTACCAGCCACTCGCTCTCTCCCTCGACCTACCTACTCTACACCGCATCCCTCCACCCGCCAGCAACAACCACAACACCACTCAACTTCGATATCCCGTGCAATACCAGTCGCCCAACTTCCCCATACTCCGACCTCCGAAAACTCTGCCCATCATGGTCGTACGTAGCCCGCTCGCCACCCCCGGAGACATGCGCTTGTCAGAAACTACCGAGAAGCCATGCAGCATAGCTCACACATATCACAGCTCGGCAAAGTCGCGCATTACGCTTTCGATGCGGTATTAAGTAGGTTTTACCCCGAACTCACCGGAACTACCCCCTCAGATCAACATGTCGCTTACCCACGTCTACCATTACAGTATCCGCCTTCCTCGCCGGCGTCCGTCGCTCCACTGGCCTCACGTAGGTCCCCCGTTCCTGCAGCGTCGTCGTCACCACCAGTCCCTTCCCATCTCCTCCCTCTTAGATGTCCATTCATACACACGTTTCAGCATGCACATCCCACAACCCTCTATAATACAAAAAAAAAGTTTGGGGCTAAAAGCTAAACCCAGACCCAGTGTGAAGCCCGATTCCTTCAGCGAAAACCCCAGCGCCCAGAAGTGGTTTGAAAACTACCTCTGGGTCGGCGAGACTGTCATGGACCAGAGCGTCGCCCTGTTCGGCGCCAGCTCTTACTTTGAACGCAAGCGGTAGATTTTCTTTCTGTCTGTTACACACAGCGAAAGTCGACGATTGTCCTCCTGATAACCGGCGAGGAAATTTGGCACAATGGGAGCGTTCTGGAGGCAAGGGCAGAGCGGCGGTGGGGGCTGTGATGGACTACGGGGTACATAGTCCGGAGCTCCGGTATATTGCTCGCAAACAAAGACATGGGTTTGCGGGAAGAAGGGCATGCTTTATGCACGGTTTTTCGCCGCCTCGAGTGAAGAAGCGGATGGCGTTTAGGCGCTGTTATCTATACGAATGCTACGAATGTTCGCTTTTGGAGTCAAAACACCCACCCCTCAACCTATCTGATGTGACGACAATGGAAACTTTTCTCCGCGTATATTGGGTATCATATTTCCTGCCACACAAAAAACGAACACTAACACACCCCTCTCTACGTCCTCCGCTTAAACCTAAACCCCGTTTCCTCCTCATCGCTATCATCGTCGATAATCCTCCCATACTTGCTCCGCTTACTAGTCGACTGCACACTCTCAGCATCAGACGGCCTCTTCTTCCCCCTCTGCGCCAGCGAACTCGTTGACAACTGTGTTTCCGTAATCCTCTGCGTACGTCCACTACTCTTCTGCGTCCGCTCGCTCGGATCCAATTCTTCATCGTCTGGCCCGCTATCTTCCACATTGATGACGACTTGCTGCTGCTGCGACTGTGACTGTGTAGTACGTTTCCGCCGTGTGAAGCCGCCCACTTCAGGCTCAGAATCGGAGTCGACAGCCTGGCGACTTCCACGAGAGCGCAACGAAGGCTCGATGCCCTCGAGTAGGAATGTGTCGCTGATACCGATGCCTTTCTTAGGTGGAGCTTCTTCGAGTGTGACGATGACCTTGCGCGGTTGAACGCCTTGTTCGACACCGCGACGACGAAACTTTTTGAAATTTTTGCGACCGTTCCATTCGGGGTTCCAGCGGTCGCTGTTTGCGGGGTTAGGATTGCGTGCAATATCTCTGTTCTGTCGAGGGAGGACTTCCATCTCTTCTACCTGGGCTAGGTTTTTGAGTTCGCCAATGTCTACGCCTTCGAGTGCTTCTCGTAGACTTTCTTCGTCTGCCTTGCGCTTGTCCTCTTCTTCCTTGATGCGTTGGCGTGTGTGCTCGCGGATGTTGATGTCTTTCTCCGCCCTGGCTTTTGCTTTGTTCAGCCGTGCTAGTGCATCGACGCCTTTTGTAGTTGAAGTCTGTACTGGTCCACCTGCTTCGGGCTCAACTGACGCTGGTGGCGCCCGGGTAGCGGCTCTCTCCTTCCTCATCTTGGCAGCAGTCGGAAAAAGCGAGTCGAACTGCTCTTCTTTTTCTATTGTGTCCTGAACGTGTAATTGGGGTGTGGTCTGGCTTTGCGTGTTTGTTGCAGTGCGCCCTTGTGAAGCCGCTGCTGATGTCGCTATCCGCGGTGCAGACTGCTGCACGTCTTCTATCTGAGTATGTTCAACCTTCTTCTTTTTAGGGACTGGTTCATCGTCATCAAAGCCAGTAAAGCGACTAGTTTTCGGTCTTTGTATACGCTTCCGTGGATTGATCTTCGCAGGCTCTTCCGCTGGAGGTGTGTCTTCTTCCGGGGCTTGTGATGGTGCTCTGGAAGTAGATGTGGGAGTTGTAGTACGCATTGAACGTCGCGCAGCGGACGACTCAGGCGCAGTATATTGAGTGTTACCCAAGTCTGTAGGCGGCCTCTGGAGGGAAGCTCGGTCTTTCGTGATGATTGCATCGAGAAACTCATTTTGTAGAACGGAGCGCTGACCAAGTGCCTGATCAACACCGATTACGAAATTTGCAGCCCACTCCTCCATGGCGTCAGGGTATGCCGGTAGTCGTACCGTGACCACTGGCAGCTTGTCGCTAGCCTTGCCGCGCCGTTTTTTACCTGCAACGCTATGGACATAGTCGACGTATTCTTGTATAGTTGTCTCGCCCAGCTGAACGTTGAATAGCAGTGCTTTCCCACCTCCACCCGTGATGGGTTCGAGCAAGCTGCTATGTTGCCCTTCATTTAGGAAGACAAAGGTAAGCCCGGAGAATACCTCTGATCTCGACGGATCGGGCATCAGCATCTCTTGTGGCCGAGCGACTGGCTCTGCACCCGCTGGCGGTACGTAGTCCTTCTCTGTCGGCCACCATGCATCAAAGTCCTCTTCCAGCTTCGAGGGCAAGTAATGTTGTTCTTCGTCAACCGATGCCGTGGCAACGCTGATGACCGCATCGAGAAATTCTGTAGTGACTATGTGCTTGCCAGACGTCAGGCCCGAGAGGACTTTGGGGAGGTTTCGTTTCGCGGACACGACGTGGGTTGTCTTGTCGAATACGAAGTCGGTCGTAGTTTTGATATCTAGGCCATGCAGTCGCGTGCTTCGGGCCTTGCCATCGCGTGTCTCTTTGGACGCATACGTGAATACAGCCGGCCGCCACACAATCCTGAACGGCGCATAGCCCTGGGCTAGCCTGATGGTGTGTTCTGTCCCCTTCAATATCTCGCTACTGTAGTTTATCGACCCATCTTCCGCCTTTTGACTCTTTAATGTGTTCTTGTCGTCGATTGTAGTTCCCTGCCGGCAGCTGAGGTCGGTGACCTCAATCTGAGACCGCTTGTGCAGCTTTGTACCGTCCTCTGGAGCCACATCGTAGACTTTGAGCATGACATGTTTCCTCGACACAGCTTTGTTGTCAATCTTCCAATTCGTTCCTTGCGGGCCGTCCTGGTCGACAGTCCTGGTTCGACCGAAGAGCTGCTGTGATCCTGGTCGCAGCCATACGCGCTTTCCTCCAAAGAGGCTCTCGTGTTCGAGGAACCACATGGATGCGGGGCGTGGTGTTTTGATCTAGCAGATAAGCGGCGTTTTGGTGGCTAGTATGCGCATTGTTTGTTCAATTGCAGGTCCGCGCGAATGTTCGTTATGGGTGTCGTGATTGCGCTTGCCATCTAGGCTGACGTGTGCGGGCTCCAGGGCTCGGAGACCGCAACGCGCTGTCATGTGAGGCGCTAACGCGATTCCCACTCCCCACCCCTCGACATACTTCAACCAGCCAAGCAACCCACCACATAATCATTTTCTCCATAAGGTCGCGCATAGATTTATGAATTGTGTAACGTAGTATCGCCGTTACCTTATGTGAAAGACACAGCTTGTCTTCTTCAGTGCCTCCTCCGTCGCCGATCCGAAATGGTCACCCACTTTTGTAGCGCAAGACCATGCTTCTAATATTATTGCATCACGAATCAATTTGGAGTACTGTCTCAAGAATTTGAAGCACATCTTACGCCTGGTCAACGACTCGGCTATCTTAAAATAGTCTTTTCCCGAGCTACAAGGTTAACATTAGAGACTTCACATCATCATAATTACCTGTAAACCTGTTCTCGTGGCGCACTGTATCTTCAAGCATCAACCCTTACACGAGAAACTTGATAAGATATAAACCTGCCTTCACCGAGCACATATCCACCCCTGCAATATCGAACTGAACAAGCGTCAGCCAATCGACGCACTCTTCATACCATATCAAGTTTCTTTTACTTATCTTCACAATTCGCACTTCATACCTTCTGTCTCCTCCAGCCCAAATCTCACATTTCAGCATTCAGCATTCATCAGAACATCACTCAACATGGTCAAGCGCATCACAGGAAACGGCCTCGGCGTCAATCTCCTCAAACTCCACGGTACACTTGAGCTACGGTTTACTGCCGACGCCACCTATACCGTCTTCCACAAACTTCAGTGCGAAGACACTGTAGACACCGAACAGATAGAGCAGGATCGTGAGTCCGCACATGGACAGCCAATAATATCTCTAGGCCTTGAGATGTATCTGGAAAAAGTCGACGGCATCCTCGATGTTACCTACAGAGGCGAAGGAGGCAGTAAGCTTTCCTTCAGGCACGATGGCCGTGTGGTTGGGACCTATGGAGTCGATAACGGCGTCAAAACTGGAAAGCAGAACAAGAAACGACATGCAACACAGGAGGATACCAAGACCCAGACGCTCGGCAAAAAGACTCGCAGCATCACAATGCAGACATCGACACCTCTTACCACCCACATAGGTACACAGACCCGCTTGCCAATCAAGGCCACTTATCTCGACAAAATAGCAGCAGATACACCAACATTCACAACAGCTGTAACGATGATCTTTGATAAATTCAACGAATCTTATGATGCGTCCCACCTCAAACGCGAGGCCTCACCTCCCACTGACCACAAAGCCTATACACACATCTACATCGAGGGCTATCGAAACGCCGAAGAGGATGGCGGTGGCCAAGAAGGGCGTCTTCATATCGATCTCCTGAATCACGTCCTGATCTGGGAGTCATATAACGCATACAATCAAGGTGTATGTGTGACACTTGACCGACTAGAATTTCCAAAATGTCTGTACAAAATCCTGGCGTATGGTACATCTTCACGATTATATCAAGCTGACAGCTACAGGCGTGGTTGGTTACAGAAAGCTCGAGTCCATTCACTGCTTCGGGGACTACCAATTGTTTCTATGCCTGCCTAAAAGTAGGCATGGCGTATTCACGATGGACTACGAAAGCTTGGAAGCCAAAATCTTCGGGACCACGGCTGAGAGCGGAAATGACCGATATTACCTCACAGGATGTGAGGGAATTAAGATTGCGGTTGCTGCGGCCCGGGAGTGTTTGGAGTGGAGGGAGAAAAACGGCGGTGGAGGATTGAAAGTGGAGGATGACGTGATTTGCTTGGAGTGAGTCAAAAGTGCTGGTTTGGGTTATTCAAAGTTCTGGAAAATGGAAACAAAATATTTGATTATGGTGGCGGACGACTTGCTAATTGCTCAGTCACAGGGATGGTAGGAGGCGTTCAAAAGGACTGATTGCAAGTATGTACATTGATACGGCAGGCTCCTCAATCAATGACTATAGACATCACTCCTCACTCCCCTCCAGACTCTCTACTCACCCACTCGGAGGTCCAACCCTGCTAATAAGCGAACCCGTTTGTGAAGTTGAACAAGCTCTGTGGGTCCCACATCTTCTTGAGCTGCTCAAGCTTCGGGAGCTTCTCTGTACTGTACCAAGCATCGCGTCCCTCGTCGCCATGCGCATAGTTGACGTATACCTGGAGTCCCTTTTCACCATTGAGCTTCGCAAAGTCTGCGCGTCTCGCCTTGGCAAAATCTGCAATGGCAGAATTCTGTTCGTCAGTCGTGAAGCCACTGAAACTCATGAATCTGGGAATGCATTAGTACTAATCTGAATGATACAAGCGGTAGCGGCTAGAAACTTACAGATACGCCATCGTGTTGCGGTAGGGATACGCAGTCTCGGCGTCTGCCGTCTGGAGGGTGACCTTGGTTGGAAACATTTCTGTCACCATGTACGAGGTTGTCAGTCCTGTTTTGTCGTAGAAGTCGATCCATGAAGCAAGGGCTGCCTGGTAGGTCGCAACATCGTATTTGTAGAGGTTCAAGCCGTAAGCCGCTTGAGGAAGACCTGCAATGCAACCGAGGGGGTCCACGCCAAAGCGGTTCTCCAAGATGAGGCGGTTGTAGGGGATCATGGTGACATTTGACGTGAGAGCCTTGGTGGAAAGCAATGGTGCGAGGACTTTCCTTCCTTCGGTCTCTGCGCCAATGTATACCGCGTTGACCATGATGACTGTCTGTGGATCGAGTAAGCAACTTGCGTCGATACTGAAGGGGTGATCCAACTAACCGTGTTATAATCAGTCGAATACTGGATGGCGCTAGTAAGAGCCAAAGCATTTGGCTGGTATCCAGCAAACTTGCTCAAGATGTTGAACACAGTCGCGTTCTCGCTGGCGGGGAAAAGGAAGTCGCCGTTCAAGGCACGACCGCCGTTTGTCTGATCCGCCAACTTGTACGTCGCAGAGGTCACGATACCGTAGTTCATTCCAGCACCGCGAAGGCCCCAGAACAGATCGCTGTTTTCAGACGAAGATGCGTTGACAATGTCGCCTTTGGCAGTCACCATGGTAACGGACTGGAGCGCATCGATAATCAGGCCATGAAGACCTTGGTATGGGCCAATACCACCGCCTAGAGTCGCGCCAACAAACCCAACGCATGAGCAAGATCCAGTTTCTGATGGGAAGACAAGTTAGCATCTGTTCAGGACATGCCGAAGGAGATAACATACGAATCTCTTTTCCAGCCGCAAACACTGGATCCAAGACCTCTCCAAAGGTGACTGCGCCCCCAATGGTCATTGTGCTGGCTGCCTTGTCTATGGAAATGCTCTTGAAAGCACCGAGGTCGATGTTGATTCCATTGTTGACGGCACTGGTTGTGGTAGTGTAGCCATGACCGCCACCCGTACCCATGAAAGCGATGTTATTTTGCGCCGCATACTTGATCTGTTCATTGGTCATTAGTCTTCTTTTCCTAAGCAAAAAACGACCACGGGACTCACGATAGCGGAGACGTCTTGTGCAGTAGCAGGTTTCACGCCCACAACGTAAGATGGCGCCTGGTATGCATTCCACCTCTCCGTAAGCTCAGTCTGGTAGGACTGGGAGCTAGAAAGATAAATTTCAGATTTGGACGAGAGCTCACTCTGTAAGTAACTCTGTATGTTCCCTGGAGTCGCCGCCGAAGTCAGACCGACTACAGAAAGCAGACCGAGAACGAGAAAAGTCACCATGTTTGGCAAAGGATGAGGAGCGGTACCTGAAGGATTGCATCAGGGTGGACGACACCAATTAAGGCGCGTAGACTTTGTTCGTATACTACTCACCGCTTCATTCTTCCCGATTTGTGGAGTCGGTGATGAAAATAGAGTCGGCTAGATACCACGACAGCCCCATTCGGCGTCAATAAGCAAAGAAGCCGAAGTACTAGCACAACACCGATCGAGCAAGCCATGATGAATTGAAAACTGTAAAAAGATCCGTGCGAGGTCAGATACGCCATGACCAAGATCGCCATGGGGAAAATCGACGTCCACCACCATATGCTGCCGCCCGAGTACGTGCAAAGTGAGCATCGCCTCCAAAGCCATCCATATCCCAGAGAAAACTAACGGTTCCTTGCCAGAATGGAAGGAGGCATCTGGTATCCCCAAAGGCCTCAAACTCCCAACCTGGGACGTGGAAATAGATCTGGACTTCATGGACCGCAACAACATTTCCGCCTCAATCCTCTCCCTCAGCGCCCCCGGCCTCGCCTTCGTCAAACCAGCTTCAGAAGCCACAGCCCTATGCCGCTGGGTCAACGAATACGCCGCCAATATTGTGACTGCGCACCCCACGCGCTTCGGCTTTTTTGCCTCCGTGCCACCCCTTGACAACATACTCGCCTGTCTTGAGGAAATCCGCTACGCCCTCGACGTCCTCAAAGCAGACGGCGTAGCTCTACTATCAAGCTACTCCGACAAATACCTAGGACACTCAGAGTTTCGCCCCCTATGGCAAGAGCTCAACGCCCGCAACGCCGTCATATTCATCCATCCGACCTTTGCTCAAACCTGGGGTGCACCCTCTGATCCTAGTATCCCCCGTCCCATCATTGATTTCCCACACGAAACTACTCGTACAGCTGTTCACCTCATCACATCCAACACGATCCGCGATTTCCCCAATGTCAAGATCATTCTGTCGCATGGCGGCGGCACGCTACCGTATGTGGCTACGCGAATCGCGCATCAGACGGCTGATTTGGGGCTGAAAGATAAGAGCGCAGAGGAATTCATCAGAGAGGCAAGGGGCTTCTACTTTGATCTCGCATTGACGGGGTTTGAGGGGCCGGTCAAGGCGCTGAGCGAGTTTGCGTACGAGGGGCATGTGCTGTTTGGGAGTGATTTTCCTTTTGCGAGGGAGGGGACTATTGGGACGCAGATTGAGAGGATTACGGCTGTGGATATGAGTGATAAGGCGAGGGAGTCTATCGATTGTTGGGCGGCGAAGAGGCTATTTCCCAGATTTGGGTAGACAAGGATATAATTTGTTTGTTTTCTTAGTAGAAGTCGCGATTAACAATAGATGTATTTAGTACTTCGCGCACCCTATTGTATGATGTCAATCCTCGTGGGTAACGCTCCTACAAGGGTCGGTCATCGATCCTTTCCTTGTACGGTACTATTGTTGACATTCCCACCTGCCGCATTGAACTTTGGCCTTGAACAAACTAGATGCACATTTGGGTTGTGGGCTTCAAGAGGCACGTTTGGTCATCATAACAAAAGGGGTATATGTTTCTTCATTGGACACTAAATCATCACTGCATAATACCAGGCTGGAACTTCTTCTTTGCACTGTTTCCTTCCCAAAACATAAGGGCCTACGACACGGTGGAGATCGCCAGTTGGTCCTATTCTTGTTAACAAGGGTACTCTTAGAACCGAAAGCTAACTTACTGGGCCTCCAAAAGGAAGGATAAAATCAGCAGTCTTTGTCGCATAGCTGAAGCCATCGGACGACATCTCCGCTTTACCCGCCTGTACATAGGCTAGGTACTCTGGGGCACCAGGGAAGATGATGTTATCGGCTAGCACGACCGAGCCCGGCCTGAGTAGGGAAGATTTCTCACACAGCTGCAAATCAGAAATGTAAAAGTCCTTCCAGTGGTCCAAGAGCATAAAATCGACAGTGCCCTTTGTCACTACACCCTCCTTAACAAGACGCATCAACGACTCGCCAGCTGGGCCAACGTTGATACTGATAACATCCCGCAGACCTGCCAAATCCGCCAGACTGGCTGCGACAGCCGCGATGATGGGGTTCTTCTCAAACGATACGTAGCGAACGCGCTGACCCGGACCCGCTCGTGCTACCATGGCGCTGGCAAGACAGATGGCGGAGTATCCAACATAAGAGCCGAATTCGAGGAACAGAGTCGGCGCAGGCTCAGCAGTAGCCAGCATGTCTGTGATAAAGGCACGCTTCTCCGCTCCAATGGTCATCAACCCTCGTGGAATTGTGTCCGCAAAGTCGTCAATGGCGTTGCAGACTGCATCTGGGTTTCCACGTAGCTTTTCTAGGTCCGGCCGGCTGTATACATACTTCAAAAGTGCAAGCTCTTCAGCACCTTCTTTCTACAGTCATCTATCAGCCATGTTTCCAAGGACCCACTACACGGTATGGTAGAGTCTTACATGATTGGCTGCGACTGCGACATTGAAGAAACCAGCGCTGTTCGCGACTTTGGGTGCTGAACCATCAACAATGGCATCGGTGTCGAAGTATGTCGAAGTACCTCCCATGGGAGTAGGAAGAGTCTGAACGGCCGCCATCCTTTAGTGTAGAGAAGTAATACTGACAATGCGTAAGTATAGTATATCAATTGAAGCATCATACCTATATACACGATGTACCGCATTTGTGAATGAACAAGTCGGGCGTATCGGTCCGTTTCGGGGACATTCGATTCGGTAGCTTGTATCCACCACAATCCTACCATCTCGAATGAAATTTGAAAGCTACTCACGGAGATATCAACACTAACACGGAGATATCACATTCGGAGTTAAGATTTTGTAAAGTAAACGCCAACGTATACACGTTGGAAGCCCCCCAAATCGCTGATGTATCGTCAATTATCATCATAACTTTGCAACCATGGGCTTCGCAACTACGATTCTTCATTCGCAATTTTTTGTGACCCCGCCGGTTCCTAACTCCGACTTCTCGGACCAAACAGTTGTCGTAACAGGCGCCACATCTGGTCTCGGCTACGAAGCTGCAAAACACATACTACGCTTAGGAGCATCCAAGCTCATCCTCGCAGTGCGGAATGTCACCAAAGGCAAGCAGGCGGCAGAAGAGATCTCCTCAGCTCTTTCTCTTCCTTCAAGCAATATCGAGATCTGGGAGTTAGATCTTGGCAGTTTCTCGTCCATAAAGCAATTTGGCGAACGCATCAACACGCTGGACCGCTTGGACGCTGTGATACAAAATGCAGGCATCATGACCAGCAAGTTCAAACTAGTCGAAGGATGCGAAAGTCAGATGGCTGTCAACGTCATCAGCCCCGTACTTCTAGGCTACCTCGTTCTTCCCAAGCTACAACAGTCTGCAGCTAAAACGGGTAGTCGGGGAAGATTGGCATTCGTTGGTAGCGATCTCCAATTCATCGCGCCGCTGAAGGAGAAGTCTGCTCAGGGTAGTATCCTAACGGCTCTCAACTCCGAACAGACAGCTGATATGAAGAACCGGTGAATTTGCCCAAGGCCCAACATGTCACGCGGCGCATCTTTGCTAACGAGTAACTGCAGCTACGGCGTCTCTAAACTCCTGCTCATGTGGGCGGTGCGCGATATGGCGCAGCGATACCCCTTTTCCGAGCAGTCAAACGTAGTCATTGCGTGTCTAACGCCCGGCTTGTGCAAAAGCAACATTGTACAAGACGACGAGAGCTGGATTGTTGGAGTTCTTAGACGTTTCATGATTGGTATAGTCGCGCGCTCGGCGGAGGTGGGTAGCCGCAATCTTGTCGATGGAGTTAAAGCGGAACTCGGAGAGGAGTGCCATGGTGCTTTCCTCATGGACTGCGATGTTTGCAAAGAGTAAGTTTGCCACCGTTACCTGTGATGGATTCAGGATGAGGCTGACTCGTATGCTTGTTTAGTCTAACGGGAAATTCGAAGACGCAGGATATGGAAGAGGCGAAAAAGAGATTCTTGGAGGAGCTCTCTGCGCGTTTACGAGAAATCTGCCCTGGAGTCATTTAGCTGGCCCCGGGACGTTGGAAAATTAGTGTTTTTGCTCTTTTAAACATTTCTATTCTGAGAAACTATTACCACATTGTGCGATGTCTACAGGTCTGGGCTCAATGCGTTTGAATTGGTACATCTGAAGTGGGGATTGAATCACGTGACCATGAACGTGGTATACATGTAGGCAGGTGCATCTTACATACCGTAGCCTGTACTCTCTATCCTGGAACCCATAACGCCACCATCCCCACCAACAACGCTTTTACTCGATACCACAGTATACTCATTCGAGGCGAGATCATGTGAAAAAGTATATAGCCGAGCTGCAAATCAGGAAATTGACCGATGCCGAAATGGAAGACACCGTGAAGACTTCAGCTATTGCGACTTCTTGCAGAATCGCCTGATAGAATGTCTCACAATTACAAGCTTCAGTAGGTCAATCGGACAGGATGGTAGTGCCATATGCTACTGAGATGTCACATCTTCCGAAATGGTTGATCGCTGCTCTTGGTGTAAGCGATTGACTCTTCCTGCTTGTTTCTAAACTGACACCATCCAGATTGTCTCTTTCCTGATACTCCGCGCCATCTATCGCCTAGCCCTCCACCCCCTCAAAGCATTCCCAGGCCCTGCAAGCCGAGCAGTATCGCATGTTCCTCACGCAAAATCCATACTCAGCGGATACCTACCTTATGAACTCACTGCCTTGCACGCGAAATATGGCGATGCCGTGCGTATTGCCCCAGATATGGTATCTTTCATTGCACCAGAAGCATGGACAGACATCTATGGTCACGGACCCAACCGGAATTTCCCCAAATGGGGCATGACGCGCAGCCACAAGACAGTCGACCACATACTGTCAGCCAACAACGCAGATCACTCGCGGCAACGCAGGCTAGTCAACCATGCTTTTAGCGATAAGGCGTTACGGGCCCAGGAGGGCATTGTCATGCGCTACATCGACCAGCTCACGAGTGCTCTGGAAGTGCAGTCTACAACCGAGGTCAATGTGAAGAACTGGCTCGAATGGACGGCTTTCGACATCGTTGGTGATTTAGCATTCGGTGAGCCATTTGGTTGTCTTTCAAGCGGCGCATACCACCCCTGGGTAGAGCTGTTGTTCCCCTTCATCAAGGCCCTTTCGCTCTTTGGCGCGGCAAGGCTATTCAAGCCCTTTACACCCTTAATCATCGCTCTTTTGCCGAAGAAGGACATCAAGAGACGCTTCCAGCACATCAAGCTCAGCGCCGAGAAAGTCCATAAACGGCTTGCTGCGGGCGAACAACCGCATAGATCGGACTTTTGGACGTACATCTTACGCCACAATGACGAAAAAGGCATGAGTATCGAGGAGATGGAGTCGAACGCCGGGATCTTCATCTCCGGCGGGAGCGAAACTGTCGCGACGGCCCTGTGTGGAATCATGTACTTGTTGGCGACGAACCCAGGGGCTATGCACACGTTGCGGGAAGAGGTTACGAGCGCTTTCAGCAAGAAGGAGGATATCAATATGATCAGCGTTGCTGGGCTCAAAGTACTGCAGGCTACGATCAGCGAGGGCATGCGCATCTACCCGCCTGTTCCTGCGGGTCTGCAGCGGATCGTGCCAAAAGGTGGTGCCATAGTCGCAGGTCATGCTGTGCCAGGAGGAGTAAGTCAATTTCTAACTCCAAATGCCCCCAGTACACTCCTTCTAACCAACCAAACCCAGACCATTGTCAACGTCTCCCAACAACCCGCATACCACCTCGCCAGCAACTTCGCGTACCCTAAACGTTTCGCCCCCGAACGCTGGCTCTCGAACGCACCGAGCGAGTATTCAAACGACATGAAGGATGCTTTCCAGCCTTTCAGCACTGGGCCGCGTAACTGTGTGGGCAAGAACCTTGCTCTGGCGGAAATGAAGTTGATTCTCGCGCGTCTGGTGTGGCAGTTTGACTGGCAGCTGGCCGACGACAAGTTTGCTCTTGAGAAGCAGAGAGTGTTTATTATGCGCGAGAAACCAGATTTGAATCTGCGTCTGACACCGAGGAGGATGTGATTGTATTGGTATTGATAGTTGGAACTTTGAGGGCATGTGCATGGCTGGGGCATACTGGATCTGCAATAGGAGAACATCGTGGATAATCTAGGCATGTCATAAAATCTTCGCTCTCTACCAAATAGATTATGCTATTTGATCAAACCAACGACGCGCTCAGCATATCTAGTAGTTTACAGAAGTTATCTTCCTCTTGCCAAATTACAACTCCCCCTCCTACCATTTCAACACCCCTTCCACCCCCAAACCTCACGCACCGCAAACCACCCACCCAAAACATACTGTCACTCTCTACAATTCATCCACCTTCCAACTTCCTCTCAGAATCGGCCCGAACCCCCAACGCCCACACCGAGCCCACCAAGCCCCCACCACGCCATTCGGCCACTTTTGCAAAATAGTCACCGAATGCACTCTCCCCCGACCCCGAACCCACGTCTACATCCACATTTATACTCACTTCAACAATAAACCCACATATCGGCCCCATCTACGGCCGATATTCCCGACGCTATCGCTTTGACCGTTACAATATTGCCGGAGACCGCATAGCCGGTATGGATACAGTCGCTAGCTAGTCAAGCGCCGTAGACCGACCAATAGGTCTCCGGTGACATGATTATTCGACGACGTGAGTAGAGTCGGTCGGTACGATCAGTATTGGGGGATGGTAGTTGTTGAGACGTGTCTTCCGCCGAACGGATGCGAAGACGCGGAGATGTGGTGACGTGGGCTGTGTGGGTACTAAGAAGATATTGATGCTTTCATGATGTGATGAGCGTGAAACTGAGAGTGGGACAGAGTCACATCGAATTTGTGGCGAACGAGGATTTTCGTGGGACAGAATCGATGACACGAGGTCGAGGTCACGGCCAGAGGGTGTGAGACGGACGTTGTGATCGTAGAATATGAAATATTCGTTGGAAAGACATGACAGGATGTAAAATTAGAAATACAGTAGAACAAAATCTATCTCCAACGCCGCAGAAAAACCCAAAAAGCCAAACGCCTTGAAATATGATACAACTCAACGTTTCAAATGCTGTAAAAGAAATTCATAACCGGGAGCCACTGTCTCGTCCCAACGCTTGGTATCCGGTTTCAACGCCACGTCATGGATATGCCTAGCTCCCTGTACAGTGAGCAGCTGTCCCTCAACACCAGCTGCACGTAGCGCATCGACGAAAGCAGCGGCGGTGTGGTAGGGGACGATCTCGTCCTTGGTTCCATGGATGATAAAGGTCGGGACTGTGTAATTGCCGCGACGTAGCTGTGCGAGCGGACTGATGGCTGCGACGCGTTCAGCATCCGGAGCGCGAAGCCATGTGCCAATATCATCTCCTTCATCTTCAGAGTCATTGTCTGAGCTATCAGAGTCTTCCGAGTCTTCTTCGAAACTGTCTTGTTCGTTGCTGGCTCTAGGCAGACCGTTCAGGAGAAGGGGAAGACCGTTACCCTCCTTGAAGAGCGACAGCACGAGTTCAGAGCGTGGGTCGCCGGGGCGAACCCAACCCATGCCAGTATTGTCAGTGCCGTTGCCATCGTATTGAGTGAGTGGCTTCTTGGGCAGGGCGTTGATGATATTCTTCATCTTCATGGTCCTCTCTGGGTACTCCTCCGCTCTACGCGCATCTAAATCCCCTGACTCAAAGTCCGTGGGGCCATAGAAGCTTAGAATGGCAAGTGGAGGTTTCATGCCAGCGGACTTGGTTGTCCAAGCAGTTGTCATGGCAAGCTGACCTCCGGACGACCAGCCGATGACCACAACCCGCTCCGGATCAACCAAGATGCCCTTGGTCCGTGCCAACTTGGGCAAGGAGGTCGTGATCCACTTGTACGCATCCAGGGTGTCGGCGATAGGACCGTCGATGAGGTTAACTTCCGGGCAGAGACGGTAGTCAATGCTCACTGGAAGGAGGCCATTCTGAAGGAGAAAGCTGGTCTGCGCGGGGCGTATTGCCTTGCGGGAAAGCGTCATATGCCCACCACCATGAATCATGAGAGCTAACGGGAAATGTCAGTGGCTTAGTCCTCAGCTGTGTAGCGTGGCTATCAGAGAGACCCACCGATGGGCATGGCGCTGGCGAGCGGCTGCTTTGGAAAGAAAACGTCTGCATGAATGTCCACGCCATCAGCCGTCTTGTAGACTACAGTCTCCATTACGGGTCGTAGGGGCGTGCGGTGCGGCGCTTGTATGTCTCTTCGCATGCTGGCAATGAGCAGTCTCTGTATGCTTAGATCTGCGTTGGGGCCTTGAGAATACGATGCGACGGCAAATCCAGCATCCTTGAAGCATCGCATCCAAGCATCAGCGGGTTGGAGAGGGTAGCTGCCATCCTTGTCGGACCACCAACTGTCAAGCAGGCCGTAGGTGATGTCGTACCAGTCTACGATCTCTGTGACTTCTGAAAGTACGAGAAAGCCGGACGGGTGAAGCAATTGCTTTAGACGATTGAGTGTAGACATGCGGTCCTGAGTAGCGTGAACGCAATTGGTGCCGATGATGATGTCAAAAGGTCCTGTAGCAGAGAGGGCGTTTGAAGGCGTATGTTCCATGTTCCATGTTTGAAACTGCAGCCATGGATACTGATTAGCGAAAACCTTAAGTGCACGGCTGACGAGTGTGGGTGAGATGTCAGTGAAAGTGTAGGAAACGGATCGACCCAAGCGGTCAAGTCGTTGCACGAGCTTCCTTGTTGTTCCACCAAAGCCAGCCCCAACCTCGAGGATGTTGATGGGGTTGTTGATATTGGACCTAGAGACAGTATCGACGATGGTGTCTACAAGCATCTCTGTAGCCGTGGCAAGCATGGGAGAGTTGAGATAGAAATCCTCCATGATAGCCTGTGCCTCCTGTGTCTTGAACATGAGAGCAATTGGATCCTGCTTTCCGGCAAGACATTGACCAAGCTGGGATCCAGTCAAGTTCATCAAGGCGAATTCGCAGCGATATGCGGGGAAGTCCTTCTGCATGTTCAGGAGAAGCTCGGCCGAAGTACTCTGCGGGCACTTGGCGGATCCCCTCACGCGATATGACATGCTGATTGTGTTCACCAGTCCATGCTTTGCCAAAATGACCCAAACCCTTTGCATGAGCCGATCGTAAGCATGCTTGCTTCGATAAGCCAGAGGTGGCAACGGGGCCCCCTCACTCAGACCTTTCAGGTCAATGCCGAGTTCCGCAATAGCTTCGACAATATAAGCCAACATGAGCTCGTCTTGTCGGGGAGCTACCATAGTTCCAAAGTCTTGAAATCCACATCTCCTTGCCTTGGTAGTGTAGTCATTCTCATTGGACACAAGAGAGTCGAATGGACTTCCCATATCGGCCGGGATTGGTGGAGGCTTGATGTCTGGGATTTTGGGTGGTAGGGTCGGACTAGCGGCCGTCTTGTTAGGGGTTGGAGAAAGACTGACGGGCCCAGTAGTACCTCCACAGCTTTTGACCGTTTCGGATATGGACAGATCTAGTAGATCATCATCTAGCTGAACGTCAAAAGCATCCTCGAGCTCACTCTTCAGCTCTACCGCTGCCAATGAGTCAACACCGAGGTCGCGAAGTAATTCACCATCGCCCATAGCCTCGAAAGGGGCACCGCATGCGTCGGATATGATCTGGAGAACGCGCTGGTGGGTCACGTTTGCATTGCCTTGTGGAGCGGCCGGCGTGGAATTGGCATGCGCCGAGCTAGGCGTCGATGTCTGGATCAGTGTGGCTGCCGAGGGTTCTACGCTCGCCTCTCCGATGCCTAGGTAGCTGCAAATCTCAGCGATGGTGCAGTCGAGATGCACGTCACTTTCGTCTATATGGACAGAAAATGCATTCTCGAGATCGCTGCTCAGCTCTACCGACGCCAAAGAGTCAACACCAAGATCACGGAGAGTGTGTGAGTCTTTGATATCCGATATGGGGGCGCCACAAGCATCTGAAACGATTTGAACGAGGCGTTTTCGACCGCCGTTGCTTGCAGGCACCGGCATAACTGGAGGTATCTGAGCAATATTGGCTTTGGTCAACTTGGTCTTAGTCTGTGGCTTGGGAATGGAAGTCAGACAGAGCTTAGACAAGGTATTGAGGTCGCTTGATAGAAGATCCATCGACTCAATTTCTTTGCCAAACTGCGAGCGTAGATCCTCAGCGAACTCAACAGCGGCAAGAGAGTCGACACCCAAGTCCGCCATAGTGGACTGGGTAGCAATAGCATCAACTGATACGCCGGTGTACATGGCAATCATCTTACGAAGGCCGCTGTCATCTAGCTCGCCAGGCGGGGTAGCGATCCCGTCTTCACTATCAGAAGAACTGTCTGCTTGATGATCGTCTGCAGCTTCCAACTCGGGCACAGCGCCGCGGCTTGGAACTGCAGGCGCAGCAAGACGTTTGGGTGCAGTTTCCTTCTTGGCAGCAGGCGTCGAGTTTGCCGTGTCGAGGAGCTTCTCAAGCGTTGCAATGGGCAGTCGGGTGAAGGCAACATCCATAACATTCAGAGCCATAGTGCCGTTCTTGGTCATAACGAAGACATCACCCGTGGCTGTTGTCTCGCTCGTGGATCGGAACACAGCGTAGACAGTCCAGGAATCGGCGGCAGTGAAATCGCAGGCGTTGGACAACGTGGCGCTTTCTACGCCAGTAGCAACGAAGACATGATTGGGAATGCAAGCGTCACTGCTGTTAATGAGAAGACCAACAACCTGAATGAAGGTGTCTATGGAGACGGTGTCACAAAGCGCAATGGCAGAGCTGTCATCGGCAGCAACGTGAGGGGTTGGGACTTTGATGCTGGCAACGGCTCGAGTGCCGTCCATGGTGATGGACTGAATACCGCGCATAAGGGGCGCGTAGGTGACAACCTGGGAGAACAGGCCATAGGCGCGCTTGGACATGAGCGTTTCAGTTCCGTCTTTGTTACTGACATCTTCAACGCACTCAGTGACGAGGTGTTTAAATGTCTGCAGCTGTGGAGGACTACCGAGTCGGACCTTGCCTCTGCCGTGAGTAGAGAAACGGGGAGTCGCGGACGACTTGGGCGCACTGCGCAATTGAAAAATCCACAGGCCAGACTGACCAGCCTCACTCAGTACCACTTCTACATGACGACTCAGGTCGACGCCCAGAGGATGTTCAAAGGTGAGATTCTCGAAAGACAAAGCGCAAGCCTTGTCGAAACGAGAGCCAAGATGGCATTGCAGAGCCATGACGGCGCACTCCATGTACATGGAGGCGGGACATAATGGACGACCACGTACTGCATGGCCGCTGACGATGTCGCCAAAGCGCTTGGTGTCGATGTTGACGGTGAAGGTCAGGGAGCCCGGCTGCTGCTGAGTGACGAGCAACGACCGGGGCGGGTCTGGCTGGACTGTGGCTTTTGCGTCTGTGTTGGCGCGAGCCTCGAGAGCCCGATCGACGTTGACGACCCAGGCAGAGGTGCGGACGAACTCGTAGGGCGGTAGGTAGACATGACTAAGCCCTGACTCAGCTGGCCCGCCAAGAGACGGCCAGAAGGAGACATCCAGTCCCTCACGCCAGAGCGATGTCGTCACATCCGGCAACACCTGGGCAGCATCCTTTGCACCCGCAAACCGCATTCCAAGGAAAATATGCTCTGCTGGCTGCGATACAGCGCGCTTGACCATGGGTATGATGGGCGCATCGGTGCCGGCCTCAAGCCATACGCAGCGGGGGCCTAGGCGTGCCTCGATGCGACGGATGGCGTCGACAAAATAGACGGGCTCGCGTGTATGCTGGGCAATTCGCGACGGTCCTATGCTCTGTTTTGCTTTTTCATCCGATACGCACATCTCAAGCGCCATCTTTGGCTCGCTGAAGGCGAGAGATGCTGCCACCGTCGAGAGCTCATCCAATAGCGGCTCAGTGAACTTGGAATGGAAACCATGCGACACATCGACGCGTTGGCTGCGCACGCTGGCGAACTGCGCATCGCTAGCAAGCAGTGTCTCAGCGCGCTCCACGGCAGCAGCAGAGCCCACAACAACTTGGCTTGCAACGGCGTTGTAGCACGCCACCTCGAGTTCGCTGCCACCCACCTTTCGGATCACTTGCTCGACGACATCTCGGCCTGCATGGATGGCGAGCATAGTACCTCTCTCCTGACCCCACTTGGTTGCCATGAGTTTTGCGCGTGCCGCAACGATCTTCAACCCACTGCGTAGGCTGAGAGCGCCGGAGAAGGCGAGGGCTGTGAGCTCGCCAAAGCTGTGTCCGATCACAGCCCCAACACGCACTCCAGCGTCTGTCCAGCATTTCGCGGACGCATACTGCACTGCAAATGTCGCTGTCTGTAGTACGACCACGTCCGCGAGTGGCTCAGAAGAGAAGACGGCGGGCAGGATGCTCGAGTAGCCCATGTCGACGAGGATGCTGTTGCACTCCTGCATATAAGCTCGAAGTCTGGGACTGCTCTCATAGAGCCCCCTATCGAGCCCCACTGTCTGCTTACTTTGTCCACCGAAGGCCAGCACGACGGGGCGTGTCGTGTTGACGACATCAATCATGCTTGCTTCGAGCTGACGACTTGTCAGAACTCTGCGGAGGCTGCTCAAGTCAGACACTGTCGCCACAAGTTGGAAGCGGTGACGCTGTTTCCGCTCCGCGAGTGTGAAGCTCAGGTCGCCGAGCGACAGATTGGGGGTTTTGCCTAGGTGGTCATCCAGGGCGTGACAGTATCGTGACAAAGAGTCTTTATTGGCCGCACTGATGACAATAGGCCAAGCCGATGCTTTGGCTGTTGACGCACCGTCTGCAAGTGGACCAAGAATGCCTCGCTTCATTTCTACGCAGAGGAGCGCAGAATTGCTGCCGGCTGCACCGTAGCTGTTGACACATGCGGCACGTAGAGGCGCATCCCAGTCCTCTACCTGTTTCGCGACGGCCATCTTGTCAGGCGCCAAAGCAGGAATCTTGGGGTTGAGACTCTTGAAACTAGCAAGAGGAGGTATCCGCTGCTTCTGCAACATGGCAAGCACCTTGAGCAGTGATGCCACGCCAGCTGCTGTCTCACAGTGTCCGATATTGCCTTTGAGAGATCCAACATTCAGGTTTCCCTGTCGGTCACCGCTGCAAAACACCTCGCGCACCGAAGCTATCTCTAGCGGGTCGCCTGCCTGCGTGCCAGTCCCGTGGCACTCGACGTACGACACTTGTTCCGCCTTCATGCCTGCTTGCTTGAGAATACGTCTGTAAAGTGTCATCTGAGCCGGCGAGTGAGGCACAGTGATCGACGCTGAGAGTCCGCCCTGATTTGTTGCTACGCCGGGAATGACACCGAGGATGTGGTCGCCATCGGCACGCGCATGCCGCAGCGACTTGAGCACAACGAGTCCCGCGCCGTCAGCGCGGCAGTACCCGTCGGCGTTCTTGTCGAAAGGTTTGCACTGACCAGTTGGACTAAGGAAACCAGCCTTGCCCAAATCCATGTAGTTGTTGATGCCAGACATGATGTTGACACCCCCTGCTAGCGCCATGGAACACTCACCACTCATGATTGCCCGGCATGCGCGGTTGATGGCTACAAGCGAAGCCGAGCATGCGGTATCGATGACTTCCGCTGGCCCACTCCAGCCAAAGTAGTAACTGATCTTGCCGCAGAGGAAGGCCCGAATAGTGCCAGTCGAAGTGTATGCCGTGGGGGCATGCGCCGAAGTGTTGTCGAGATATTCGTTGAAAGAAGCACCAATGAAACAACCTATGTTGTCACCGTTATCACGCTTGTGCGTTCGCAGGTAGCCGCTGGAGTCCATGGCTTGGTACGCAAGTTCCAGTAGGATGCGCTGCTGTGGATCCATGTAGGCCGCCTCCTTGGGGTTCGTGCGGAAAAAAGTGTGGTCAAATCCATCAACCCCATCCACAAAGTTTCCAAAGAACTTCCGCCGACTGGTGAACTATTGACTTGTCAGTACAGCAAAGATGAACTAGACATTGTTTAGCTGACCTTCTGATCCTGCGAGGCTCTGAAGCTGGCATGCAGCGGGATACGATCCGGTCGAATTTCCTCTGCTTTGGAGACCCCTCCTGCCATGAGATCCCAGAGCTCTTCCAGGTTGTTGGCACCGGGCAATCGACACGCAGCACCGACAATTGCAATGGCGTCTTCCGGAAACGTATACTCCCTAAGCTCTGCTTCCCGAATGGTGCGATGGATGTCGATCTTGGAAACTTTGAGTCTCGCCTGATGAAACGGCATCAATGGTACACAATCGCCAATGCCGAACATGGCGAACGTGTGTGCTTGGACGCCCGTAGACTTGAGTGCGGATGCAAGCTCGTTGAGGAGCGTCCACCACTCACATCGGGATGCTAGTATAGTGAGTACGGCTTCGTGTGTAAGGGAGCAGTCCTGTAACTGCCGGCCATTGATGTTGGAGTATACAGGAACTTGGAGGTCTTCACAGCCCGGCAATGTAAGACTTTCCAGTCCGTCACACAACTCACACAGCTCTCTTGCTAGCTCGGCATTTTCTGGGTTGTGTACCTTCCCCCTCAGATGCATGCCTTGCGCCTGCAATCCAAGCTCTCGTGCGTATGCAGTAACCTTCTCGAGGGTGGGAACGGGACCGACGATACTTATGGTCTTAGGGTCTGTGACCGCAGAAACATACGCCTAACTCAAGTTAACCAAGTGGCATCATAATGTACGAAAAGATGCTTACCCCAGCAAACTTTCTCGCTATATCTTCGCCTTGACCCTCATGTCGAAGACGAAGCACGATCGTTGTTGGGCCAGGCAGATTCTCATCGTCGCCCAATTCTCCGTACGCGCCCACTGCGAGAGCGATACGCATCGCAATCCCCGCCATGCTCACCACTTCTTCCTCGTCCTTGGCACATGCAACAGCAATAGCCGGTAGCAGTCCACCGCAATATCCCTGTGCGCCTCCTGTCTTGAGTCCGTGCAGAAACTCGGCATGTGTCAAGCCCGCAAGTCGCAGATATTGGAAATACTGACATGTCTGGATGACTACCAATAGCGGTAGTGAAAGAATTCCAGACATGGCATTCGCTACAGGTTTTGAAGCACCCGTTTCTACCCAGTTGTGCAGCGCCCGAAGATACTTGGGGCCCTGATGCAGAGCAGCGATGTCGGGTCTGCGGGCAGCGAGGATATTCCATGTTTCGTCAAGTCGTTGAACAGCATCTGCTAGCTTGCGCAGTTGGGAATGGTTTACAAAGAATGTGCGTAGTTGGTCAAGATATGCCTCATCTGGCGCTTTGCTTTGTGGGCAAAATATGGCGACCGATGCCGCTTGTGTAGGTTTTAAGAACGACATGGTATGGTGTGGTTTGGCAAGTGCAATGTTGAATGTACTGCGAAAGATGAGTGGGATTGGACGTTGTTCAAGACGAGGCTGACTCTTTAACGAGATATCAGAGGTTGTGAGTTGTATTCGGAGCCTTCGGTATTCACTTCCTCGAACACTGGGGCCTAGGAGCCGATGGGTAGTTCGGGGAGTTAATCTCTTCTCATTCCAGGTTACGGTAATGGGCCTGCTAGACGTATCAGGAAGAATATGGTATTGCCTACCCACCTACTCCACCAGCCCGGGTTGAGCTGGTCGGTCGAGTACATCTCGGTAACATTTGAATCGGGGATATATCTCATGCTCGGTCACTACTCAACAAATAGATTCACCACGATACATGAGTCTAATGGTAGATAAGAGTAGATGGCAACTGGACGCCTCGCCATTTCCATTGTGTAATGCCATGGATGCATTCACAAAGTTATCGTTTTCGGCGCCGCCGCTCGGCCAGGTAGTAACAACAGGCGCAATATTGGCAGTGGTAGTATGTATTCCAAACACAGCCAGATTTTTTTATGAGTATTTCAAGCTCACGCTGCGACAAAGTACTACATCACTACCGCCATCTACTGCGTTTATTTTCACCCGCTTTCCAAGTTTCCAGGGCCCAAGTTTGCGGCCTTTTCTCGTCTCCCGTTTGCTATTTCAGCCGTTCGCGGTCAACAATACAAATGGATGGACAGGTTACATGAGCGCTATGGCAATGTTGTCCGCGTGGGCCCAGATGAACTGACAACTATCTCATCTGGAGCGTGGAGGGACTTGTACCTTCAACGACCACAGCTACCAAAGGACCCACATCCACAAACGCCGCCATTGAACGGCGCTGACTCGCTCTTCACGGCTAACGGCAGCACACATCAGCGTATGCGGAGGACACTCCTGAACGGATTCAACGACCGAGCTTTGCGGGCGCAATCTCCCATCATTGAATCACATACAGACCTGTTTATACAGCGATTGCGGCTCGAGGCAGCCAAGAGCGCAGACGGCATTGTCGATCTAGCCAAGTTCTATGGCTATGCAGCCCTCGACATCATTTCAGACCTGACATATGGCGAAAGCTTCCACGGACTTGAGGGCGACAACGAGCATAACTGGATCATGGGATTCTTCCTTGGCGCAAAGTTCGGCGCAGTGCGCAACCACCTCAGCTATTTTTACCCACTTGACCGAATCTTTGGTTTCCTGTTTTTGAAGCTCACTGCCAAGATCCGAGCGCGCAACTGGAAGTATACAGCCGACCTGGTGACGAAGCGCCTGGAAATGGGTGACCTGGGGTCGACGCGGTCCGATTTCGTCTCGCCAATCATAGGCAATATCAACGACACGAAGGAGAAGGGCATCACCCGCAACGAGCTCAACACTCATTCTCTAGCTGTAACCATTGCTGGCTCTCAATTGCCCACAGTTGCACTGGCCACGGCAACGTATTTGCTGTTGACCCATCCAGTTCAGCTGCAGCGCCTTCTATCTGAGATCCGGTCGTCCTTCCAGAGTGAAGCAGATATCAACATCGCGACAACGGCTGACCTGCCGTATTTAGCGGCCGTTATCGATGAAACGCTGCGAATCCATCACCCCACGCCGATACACTTGCCCCGAATTATTCCCTCGGGGGGATTGCAAGTCGACAATCAATGGATCCCCGGAAACGTGAGTAGACCCTTACCCCCGTTTGCATCCCGGAATCCTTCCAATTGAGACCCAGCGCTAATGCAACACCGAAAGACTGTCATGGGGATTGCTATGCACACCGCACAGACTTCGCCCCGCAATTGGACCGAACCGTTAGCCTTTCATCCAGAGCGTTTCCTGGCACCACGCCACGAATTATACGATGCCCGCTTTGACCATGACGATAAAGAGGCATTCAAACCCTTCTCCATTGGCACGCGTAATTGCATAGGCGGAAAGTCAGTGACCCCAAAATCCACTCCTATGCCACGTGCATGCATTTCTAACGCGGAACAGAGTCTTTCTTGCAGAAGCACGTATCCTCCTTGCGCGTACGTTATGGAACTTTGATCTCAGCCTTGCACCCGGAACACGGGTCAACTGGATGGATCAAAAGGCCTATCTGGTCTTCGAGCCCAAGCCCCTTTGCGTTAGCCTGGTAGAGAAAGCGCTATGAAGTCAACCACCGCCTCGCCGACCTCCGCTTCGATAAGCCTCATTACGCGATCACATAGTGCAGGATATGTTCCGCTTTTTAGTCTCCTTCCTCTGCCAGCTAGCCCAACAAGACCCATCATACGAACCTTTCCCGTTACTCCCGCAAGGCTTGTCGATGCTTGTCGCAGTAACCCCAGATCTCGGGCCGTTAGGGGGTATTGTGGATCTTCGCACGGGGGAAAAGGGTGGCGAGACCCTGTACTTTGGAAACTACAGCTATCAACATGATGCTTTATTCGGATAGCTCGTAATGCATGCGTACACCTCCGTACAGCCTCGAGAAATAGCACAACATGCAATCTTTTGTCGCACTACAGCCCTATGGGTATTAGGTTCTTTACGCTTATCATCACGTTATGCTCGCGAACCGGGAATGTTCTGATACTAGTTGTCTACTCGGAACATAGCCGAGTCTTAAAATGACAGCAAAGTGACGGCAGCAACGTGAACCCACCTATGGTGGCCTCTCCCCCCATGCATTATCTAAGCATGCAGGTAGTCCCTTAGTCATGTTTCCGCCGTACGCGAAAGCCTCGCTGATGTCTACGTATCAACGGCGGCATAACGTCGGTATCAATGAGTAAGAGGCTCGTTGTCGTGGACTGTCACTGGCGGCACGAACTGTGGTTCTTTCAGTGGGCACTGAGATTACTTGCATGCCTCATATCCGCACTCAGGAAGCTCACATCCGAGATCAACCTCGGAAAGTGGAGTTGATGAGGCGGAAAAGAAGGCGGCTCAATACGAACAGAACTCTTATTTTTTGGGTCTTGGGAGTTCCCGGCAGAAGCTTAGTGCATCCAGACTCAAAGGACGCGAATTTCTCAGTGGATCTGTTGTAAAGCTTTTACGTGGAAGAGTTTGAGAGCGGGTGAGACGTAGCCGCCAGCAGCAAAATATCTCGATATCACAGTCCACTATCAAACAGGACCAGAAGATCACACGTCACTCGCCTAAGAACCACACGGGTCCAGATGTTCCGAGATAAAGTTTATCAATTGCCCACCTAACGCCAAGAAGTTAAGCTTGCAGCATGGAGTACCTTAGTAAGCATTTAATGTAAGCAATGCGATCGCGCATCGACTGCACATCATCGCCGCCCAAATTGCGTTCATCGAGAATGGTCTTGAGCAGCCGTGGGGACACGGTCTTGCGCAAGACGAAACCGCCGCCGCCGGCAACAGCGGCAGCACCCTGCTCTTTGGCCGACATGAAGCCCATGGCGCCACCGATACTACCCTCGTGATCTGAGGAGCAACATATCCGCGCCTCATGCGGTAGCTCCAGTGTCGTTTCAATCTCCGCTAGTAGGTGCACATTCATCTGCAGTAGCAGACGCGCCCGGAGTGGGTCGCCGGCATTGACACACATGCCGCCCACCGAGAGATCGGGAAAGTTGGATGATGCATGTGCTGCTGATGTGGTGTCGATGGGGCCGGATCTACTACTGTTGCCGCTGATGCTACTGTTACTGCTGCTACCACTGCTTAGGCAGCGGAGAAGTGCCCGGTATAGGATATTGTGAAGTTGCACTAGTCGGACATATGGGATGAGAAGTTGGAATGAGGCTGGCATGTCCAATTGCTGGGGTTGTTGTGGATAGGATTGCCCGTCTGACCAGTCGAGTCCGGTTTTGCAGTGTTGTTGTTGATGATGGGTGGTTGTTACAAATGTTCCGTCCAGTGAAAGTAGCCGGTTCAGATACTCGGTTGAGCTGTGGAGCACATCCCGGACTAGATCTGCCATTACGACGCCGTCGCCAGCTTTCTGATATTTGGTCACTTGGGCGTACAGGTCCAGCCCAATCTTCGCCAAGTGCTGCATGCTACTTCGTTGGGTGCCCTCTGAAACGTACGCACTGGCCGCTGGTTCCACATGGGGTTCCGGAGCCTCTCCTTCGAGCGGGACGGTGGCCATGTACGCATCGAAATTGTTGGGAAATGGTAGACTGCTTTGGCTCGAGCATGGAGTGAGAAATTCGAACTCGCTGGCTGTGAGCCCAAGGCCCTGGCTTGTCGTCGTGTCGCTGTGGTGGTCGAAGGGTGTCATGTGGTCGAAGAACACGTTCATGCTCTGCGTATCAAGCATTTGATCTGCATCGTCTATGATGTTGTCGAATTCGAGTGGCTCGCGGGAAGAATCGCATGGCTGTGGTGTTGTTGTCTTATCCGATTGAGACGTTGGACTTTGGGGCATCTGGTTTGCTTGCCGAGATCGAGCTGTCCTTGGTCGTCCCATTGGTTTGGACGCAGCGTACGTACACTGAACGTCTGCTTTCCGGCAACGGTCGCATCTGCTGGTAACAGATGCAAGCGTCGATTTGATACATTTGAGCTTCTGTGTACGGCACCGGATACACGCCACTCTCTTGACGGGGTCCTGTTGCGGAGGAAGGCTCATCGTTTGGAGCGATTCGTTGTCCATTGTCTTTGGTATGATAATGAGTCTAGATAATGAGGTTCCAGTAGAAAGTGTGTAGCCTTTTATGTGGTCAACCTAACGCGTCATGTGCTAACTAGTTTTGGGTAACCTCCGATAACCTATTTAGTAAGGTTGATTCTCGTATCCTAACAATGGGCACGTAATGCCTCTGCTAACACAACTTTGATAGATAAGTTCCCATAATACTATCTCTGTCACAACACTACGCACTACGTGAAACATATGAGCAAACAGAGAATCTTACTAAGATGGAGCGTGGGGCATATTTCTGTAACATTCGTATTTGGTCTTTGAGAGTCTATTCTTCTGGTATCGGTGTGCTGAAACAGGGGGGAATATTGCTGCAAGTCTCATTGCAGACCCTCTAGGTTTTGTCCTCTTATAACATGATACACCAAGTCGGCAGCCCCGCTATATTCTAATAACCAACACCTGAAACCTTAAGCACCCATTTTCCCCCAATCCTTTGTCTCCATAATCTTAACAGTTCTTAACACGATGTAAGAGCTCATTCCCTGTTATACGGGCCAATAGGGCAGTTGCAGGCTGGCTAGAGGTTCTCTTTCGATTGTGAATTTGCCGCGCGATGTAATCATCTAGGGGGCCTTGGGACAGTTGCGGCCGGTGGCATTGTCAATACGACAGCAGTCGGCGGTACAGTTTGCAGTGCTGACGCCCAGTTTATTGCAAAAATCGTCTGCTAGTGTGTCGTCGTTTGTGTTGCAGAGAATGAACGTGTTGAATCCAAGCAAGTCGCCAAGCTGGCGAGCGCAGGCATCCTTCGATGAGAAGCAACAGTTGTTCGCCTTGTTACAGTTGTTGTTGTTATGAATGAAGCCTTGGTCTTGACGGGCGATGACGGGACGGGCGATGGCAGAGCTGGCGAAGATGGCGGCGGCGATCATGGTAGTGAACTGCATATTGGCGATTGAGAAGAGGATAGGGTTTTTCGTTGATGTGATTTGTTGTTGATCTGGTGTGCAGAGTGTAGATGTGGAAGAGTCGAGAGAAGTGTAAAGTGTAAAGTGTACAAGAGTGTGTTCCCATGTTGATGGAGGAGACTGTTAAAGAATCTGTTTATGTTGTTGATGGATTAGATTATTGGCACTTGGTGACTACTTATAACTAGAACTTTAATTTCTTTAGACACATGTCACATGTCTTGGCGCCATAGTGTCAAAGACCATCCGGTGTTTCTAGAACCACAGTAGCCTGTTTTTAGACCTTTTAATTCTGTTTTGAATCAACCTGTCATTTGCGTAGCATTATTTTAGACCTCTTGTTTCTGTTTCGAGTCAACCTGTCATTTGAGCGTATGGCTTTGGTACTAAACTCATGTGTAATGCAGCTCCTTCGACGTCCTCCGCTTTGGTCCACTAAATCCAGCCAGATGAACTATCTTTGGACTCAAAATTAACCCAACTACTGCACGCTAATATCACTGATTTCTCCATGTCCAAAAAACACGAACACTCATTGTTGTCGCAAGGCCAAGCTATCTGTCTACTTGCTCTTAGGTCCGTTATGCATTGCTTCCTGCACGCAGAGAAGTCAACAAACAAAACAACCAACATTTGAGGCGTAGATGTTGATTGACTGGCTCATTTCTTAGGGCTACAGTTTGTTTGTTTGAGTTGATGAGACTGAAGAGCCAATTTTTGGTTGGTTGATTGATTGAATATTGATAGACTTAAGGTTCTGAAGGGACGTTTCTATGACAATTCTGCAGGCGGCTCTTCCCACGTTCCTATCGCAAACTCTTCCGTGAGCTCCTCATCAGTATGCTTTGCTGCTGTTGTCGTGCTTGGTGTTGTAAAACCTGCACGAGTCCACCGTTGCAAGCACACCAAAGCAGCCAGTAACTGCGCGCCAATTTTCCGCCTTTGTGGCTCAATTATATCGCCAGTTCCCGCAAAAACGCGCTCACAATCAGAGCTGGAGGCGGGTATAGTCAACACGTCGATCGCCAATCGTGAAAGATGTGGATACTTCGGCTTCAACGATAACCAGTACTGTACAGCTGTTGGACCCTCCTTGTGTTGATCAGACGTCCACATAGGCTCTTTTAACCAGCTATCGTACTCATCCTCCACCTCCAATGTATGCTCGCCGTCCTCATCTAGTATAGCGTCGATAGCGTCGTCAAAGCTGCTCATGGTAGGTTTTGGCGCAGGGGTTGGTGTTGTGGCAGCAGCGGCAGGCTTGTAGGCAGCCCAAACCCGCAGAAACTTCGCGTGCGCGGTGCTCAATTGTGTAGGTTTGTCGCGCCAGAAGCGCTTAGAGTATGTTTTATATCGTGGATGTAGTGCCGTAGCTGCGTAGTAAATGGGACTTTGGAGGATCTTAGTAAAGTAATTGCTCGCTTTTCGCCTCGCGGCTCGCAGGTTGATCGGGATGTGATCTTCGGGCGCCTCAGATGGCTCGTGGTTGACCGATTCGTATGGCCGAAGGCGTGCATCCAGCTCAGTTATCACACTCTCAAATACTGGGATGACCTCGTAGAGTGCGCCAAAACGGCCACACTTGCCGCGGCCTTGGAGGCGATCTGTAGCAAACTTGAGCGGCTGCAGTATCGCCATGTACTCAGTAATCACCGCCCAGTCAGCCGCCGTAAGGCCGTCTGACCTCATCCACCGCGGCACATCAGGCAGCTTGTTTCCTCTAATAGCTGCCTGTTCGTCAGCCTGTTCAGTCTCGCGAATGTGGTACGTGGCGTATGCGTTGATAGCTTGTTGGAGCTGAACTCCGCGCTTAAAGCAGTCGTAATAGCTGTTCCAACGTGTAACACACGGCTTAATTGGCTCGCGAGTGCCGCCGCTGGCGCCTGTGGGCATGCTGTTAACTGCCTCGCGTTGGCAATCTTCAAAAATACTCCACTGCTTCGGCGTGTTGATGTAGTTGATAATATCAAGATACACGCCAAGCGGTCCTTCTTTCCGCCACTCCTTCATGTAAAAATCCTCCATCTTTGTGTTCTCCAGGGCGTTGTTATACGCGTCAGCATCCCTCCCGAACATAATCGTTTGGCCAACAAGGTTAAGTATGTGGCAAGCGCAGCGGAGGCGGCGATCGGAGGCAGAAAAGTGGTACATCGCGGCGAGTTTGTTAACAGCGGTGTCGTTATTGTAAGCGTTATCGAGCACAAAGTAGCCGAGTTTGCTGCGATTAATGCTGAAGGATTGCAGGATTTTGGTTACAGCGTCAGCTATCGCCTCACCAGTGTGGGCACCCACCAGCTGCGGCAGCGCGATGGGTAGGTCAACTATCGCGCCCTTACTGTTGGCGTAGTGAGCAACTACAGAAAAGAAGCCACGTTTGCCGCCTTTTGTCGTCCACCCATCGAAGCTTATATGTACCTTGCTCTCGGCTTCAGCCAACGCGCGCACCACCTGAGGCCGTAGCCAACTGTACAACCTCAATCACGAACGCTGACACGCTGTTATGAGACCTCCATAACGCCGCCCTCTGCCTCAAGAATTAGCAAGGCCTGATCATCCTTGCGAAAAAGCCGGCGTCTCAAACTCGCGAAGTGGTCTGTTGTTGTCGACCCAGCCAAGAGCGCAGCTGCCTGCCCGAAATTCTTGTACGTCGAAGTTTCTAATAGTCTTGTACGCCTCTAGACTAAATTTGACACCGCTTAGAGCTGCCTGACGAAGTGATTGTTGTCCATGTTTGCCGGAGAGGTTTGCCTTAGGATTGGACCATCTTTGCTGAGCCGATGACCAGGTTTATCAAGCTGGAGGTGCCCGTTGGCGGCAGTGGTTGACTTCGTTACTCGGTGTACACCATTAGGTAGCTTATGAATATGACAGTACTTGCACACAAAGTACAACTCATCTGGGTGGTGAGTACCCTCCTTCCAGACACGCCAGCCGTGTTGAAAAATCCAGCTTGCCTTGCCTCGTGGAGTGCTCAGCGGCGCGACAAACCCCTTTAATCGCGACCAATCGACGCCCTCAAAGTCGCGAAAATCGACGCTCACAGCGCTATCCTCCTCCACCGAAGCCTCAGTGGCAGCGCTAGAGAAAGCTAAAGGCTGTACAATAGAGTCCTCTGGCTTATCAAACATTAACTGCGACTCCCAGGCTGGCTCATCAGTGAGCCGAGAGGCTTGTGAGGCAGCCAAAATAGGCAGTGGTGATGCCCGCCGAGGGCGCTCCTCGGGTTGTTGTACAGGCTTACATGGCGGTTCAATAGCCCGTGTGGGCGGCTCGATAACTTGTGTAGGCGGCTCTGTAGGCGGATCCGGCGTACTTTCTGGCAGCTCTATCGGCTGGGTTGGCTGGCTGCCGTCACCCAACAGCGCTTTGAGCGTAGGTTTGCGCGTACGTTGTGCTCGCTTGAAGGGAGTATCAGCTTCTTCGGCAGCCTCGGGCTTGCGTTTTGCTGGTATAGAGGGCATGGATAAGGCTAAAAGTAAGCCGGAGCCGCGAGAAAGTAAGGTGTTGTTAAATGTTATAAGCCTGATGTCAGTAGCACTAGGAATAGAACATGTGTGAATCGTGTTGTGTATTGTGCTACAGGAATTGAGATCTATGTCTCTGCCAGCTAGCGTTGTGGGCGCTAAGCCTCGTACGTACTAGCCTGGAGTGAGTGAGAGATGGGATGGAACCTAGGTCATATAACTTACACGCGAGTAGGCTTAGTAAGCAAGATCCAACACTAAGAATTCGTCGTTGAGCAGCTATCCCAGAGGCCTCACCTAGGTATCCCCCTCCCTCGCTTACTATCAAACAACACCAATCCTATCAACATTTTGTTCTCAAGATTGGTTGATTGATTGACAGAAATACAGTGGCTAACTGTTGGTTAGTTGGTTGGCTCCGAATCAAACAAATCAAACAACAATATTGATGAGATATTGATTACTGACAACCTTGCCTGCACGTGAACATCTCATAGAGAAATTCGAGCAAAGCTAGAATCGATAGTTCAGTAAGGCTAAGCTGTTCAGAGGTTCAGTGGAAGCTCACGCCTGATTTGTTCGTCTCATTGCGAAATCTGAAACGCCACACGAGTTTCAATTTCAAATATGCACTTACGGAGGTAAAGCAGTGAAGCTAATAGCGCTAGTAGGGGTAAGAAAACGATGTTTTATACACCTAAGAAATAAGGATAATATGTCTATAGCAATGAAGTCCCATCTTCTAAGCTTTTAGTCTGGTGGAAAGTTTCAATCTCGGATCGGGTCGAGTTGTAGCTGTAATCGTTGTTTTTCTGATTAACAGCGGGAGTATTGCGTCGCCTCTTGACTTCATTATTACGATGTTACGCATCTTGATGGGAGTGCTCACTTTGGCATCAGCTTAGGCTGGAATAGATGCAGTGGTAGTAGCAGTGGAAGAGGTACCACAAGTCGATCTTAACACATATCTAGGTTTTGGGGTGAGAACTAAGACATGACAACTTATGATTATCCATAACATTACACACGATATCCTGAATCGCGAACGAGTTCGACGTTGCTATATCACGCGTTTTGATGGTGTTCAAAGTCAATGCATCACTAACGTGTCTGTGCGCGTGATGCCCATAATCGCGTGCCGCACACCCCACCAATATCGCGACGACGGCAAAGTTGAGGCTGTGCAGCCACGTACAATAACTATTATCGCGAGATTTTCCGGTGTATTGATCTATAGACGTAGCTCTACAACTTTGTCTATCTATATTTTGCCGGAGTATTGACGGCCCGGCCGCGTCGGGTGGTTGTTGGTGGGGGAGCCGGTGCAGCCACCTCAGCCAGAGTGCCACCGCCAGCACCACCCACGCGTCGTTTTTTTGGCTGTTGCTTTGCAGCGGGCTTTGAAGCCTTACGCTTGCCCGATTGGGGTTGTTGTATAGCCTTTGCAGCGTCGCGATCGCGTCGTTTGGCGTCAAGTTCGGCAGCCTTTACAGCCTTGGCTTCATCCCGCACCTTCTTTGCCTCCTCACGCGCCGCCCGCGCTGCCTCTTTGATCTTAAGTTGATAGATCCTGTTGTTCTCCTTTGCCTCTTTCAACTCTATCTTATCAAGTAGCTCTTTCTCCTTCTCCTTCTCCTTCACTAGCTGCCTGAAGCGGGCCTCTCGAAGCTTGCACGGCGACCACCAAACTGCCCCTGAATGGAACGCTTTTCGCTGCTGTAGATCTAGGGGAGGTTCGTGCCGATTGCGGGGCTTCTGGTGAACGTGTAGCGCCGCGCGCAGTGCGTCCTTCTCGTACTCGGCGATCTCTTTGGCAGCCTGGAGGCGGAGGAGTATTTCTGAGAGGTTGTTGGCCGCAATAGAGCTCGGATCGTAGGCCTGATTAATGAGGTTCGTGATAGTAGCTCTACTCACGTTCACTAGTGGCGGCGGTGCTGTTAGTGTTGACTTTCGGAACTTTTTAAGTACTACTTCGGGATCTATAGGAGCTATCCCAGTGGCTTTAAATGCCTTCAACGCGTGCTTCTTAATGAAAGAGGAGTCCCAGGCAGGCTTGAAAAGACGGTAGAAGTCATCCTTCCTCACAGCTAAGAGACCGTGGCTCGCCTGGAGGTAGTGCTGCAAGCTGAGTGAGTACGCGGCTGCCAGAGGTTTGAACATTACCACATCGAGTGGCTGCAGCGTATGGGTACTATGGGGGGGTAGTATGAGTAACATAATATTGTGGGCGATCGCATAGTCAATAAACTCCATAGTAACGTGACTCCCATGGCCGTCAAGGATGAGTAAGCGTGTGTGATTGCCGGCCTTCTCCTTCGTATGGCGATCAAACACCTGTTCGAGCCATGCCAGGCCTACCTGATCATTGGTCCACCCTGAGGGACTTGAGGTAACGTAGACTGGATCGTCAATTGCGATATCATCAACCCATCTGGCGTACATGTTGCCCGAAGTAGCTTCGTATATAATCGCGGGCGGTAACGTACTCCCATCAGCACATATAGCAGCGATAACAGTGATCCAATCTCTGTTGCCGTCCTGTATCACTTTCTTAAAGCCCCCAGTCTCATATTTCTGCTTACTAAACACTCTCTTACTCCTCCCCGTCACTCCAATAAGGAATCCCTTCTCATCCATATTATATACATCCTGCGCCCGAATATGGTGCTGAGCCATTTTAGTAGATAGTAGATCAAAGTACGACTCGTACTTGTATACAGAATCAGCCCGGTGGCGATTGCGGTCCAAACCAGTTGACCAACGTGATATAATCGCGTCGGGATGACGGTGAAAGAAGCGCGTCACCCAGCTTTGGGAGGTAGCCCTTCCGGCTATAGCACTAGCAAAGTTCTGGATCATAGTCCTCGTCGGTGGTAAGCCAGCCTCAGTAAGCTCGTCAATGTGCTCTAGAAGCTGTAGCTCCTGGTGTGGGTGAAGGAGTTGCTGATTACGTGATTTGGCTTCATTTGAGCCCCGGATCTGTTGATGGCGTCGCGACAACGTAGAGCGATCAACACCAAAGCGGCGCGCAACCTCAGAGTATGTAAATTTATCTCCGGGATCACGCGATTCAATAGCTTCAATCGCAGCGTTGATACAACTCATGGTTGTGGAGTTATGGGTGGTTGAAGTGGTAAGGGTGGATTGGTGTTGATGTTGCGGGGTGTGCGGCACGCGATTATGGGCATCACGCGCACAGACACGTTACAGTAGCGGGTCAATCAACGCCCCGGGTCAGTCAACGCCCCACCCCAACACCATAACAACAAAACTTCAACGCGGCACAACTCCACCGATATAGATCCGATTCAAGAAGCAATTGAATATATTGAATCGCGCGAGCTAGGAGATGATTTCTCGTACAACAAAGTTGCTGCCCAGTTTGGTGTTGAGCGCAGTACGCTCGCTCGAAGGCACCAGGGTGTGCACGACCAGCGCGGGGTCTCCCATCGATCCCTACACCCAGAACACGAAGCCGAGCTTGTACGATACATCAAAACGCTTACTGAACGACGTTTGCCACCTACAAAAGTAATGATACAGCAGTTTGCTAGCTAGTTAGCTAGCAAACCAGTCTCCGAAAGCTGGGTTTCCCGGTTCCTCCGCCGTCATCCCAACCATCTCATCTCTCGCTCGGGCAAAGCTATGGCCAGGGAGCGGACCAAAGCTGATTCAGGAGCCAAGTACAGCTTGTATTTCAAGCTGTTACATCAAAAGATAGAGGAGTACAACGTCCAGCCAATACATATATTCAATATGGACGAAAAGGGGTTTCAACTTGGCCGGGTTGGTAGAACAAATCGTGTATTCAACAAGAAGCTCTACGAGTCAAAAGGGGTAAGGCAAGCACTTAAAGATGGCTCCACCGAGTGGATGACGGTGATGGCTTGTATTTGTTCGGATGGCGAAGCTTTGAGTCCTACTCTCATCTTCCAGGGAGCCAACGGAGCTGTTTAATCAAGCTGGGTTAATGCTGTACAAGCAGGGGAACACTCAGTATTTACTACGTCATCACCCTCTGGCTAGAGCAACAACGATATTGGGTTGGCTTGGCTCAAGGGGGTGTTTGAGAGAGAAACCAGACGGCATGCTTCAACCGGGTATCGATTACTCATCGTCGACGGCCATAGATCCCACGTAACTATGGAGTTTATTGAGTATTGTAACAACAACAAGATCCTCTTGTTTATATTACCCCCTCACGCTACTCATACGCTTCAACCCCTTAACGTTTGTATGTTTAAACCCCTCTCGAACGCTTACTCAACTCAGTTGGCTAGATACCTTCAGGACAGCCAGGGATTACTCAATTTAACCAAAGGAGACTTCTTCCCGCTCTTCTGGAGGGCTTGGTGTAACGTATTTAAACCTCTACTCATTAAGAGGTCGTTTGAAGCCACTAGTATATACCCAGCCAACCCGGACGTTGTACTCGAGAAGTTTGCCAAGTAAGCTTCGGATTCTAACAGCAGCAACTCAGTACTATCGGGGAGCGATTAGCTTAAGCTCAAGTCAATCGTACGCCGTGAGGTAAAGGATCAGAGCAGTAAGGACGTCAAGAAGCTTTAACGAAGTTTGTGCCACATCTTAGCTCAAAACAGTATACTCCGTGAGGAGGTCAGAGGCCTCAGGCAGTCCCTAGCTATCAAGGAGAGGCGATCAAAGCAGTTCTTCACCCTCCAGCTTAACGAGGACGAGGTTTACCACGGGGGAGCCAAACTGTGGTCGCCCAGGAGTGTACAACGAGCTCGCGATCGTCGGGCATCACAACAACAACAACAGGAGCTTAAAAAGCTTCAAAAAGCCGAGCAAGCTGAGATCAAGAAGGCAGCTCGCGATTGTGAGCTTCAATTCAAAGCTGTAAAGCGTGTTAAGCGGGAGAAGGGTTAGGAGGAGACCAGAAAGCGGAAGGCTGCAGAGAAAGCCGAAAGAGACCTTAAGAGACTCCGCGACGCTCAAAAAGCTATACAATTGCCCCAAAAGGGTAAGCGCAAAGCTTTAAAACCTCATAAGCCAGCTACAAAGCGTCAGAAACGTGTTGGGGGTGGTACAGCTTCTGTGGGAGCCCAGGTAGTTGCACAGCCAGTTCCACCAAAAACCTCTAAAGGGCGGGTAATCCGCCGCCCAAAAAAAGATTTAGACTAGCGCAAAGTCTTCGCAGGCTATTATATAGTATAAATCTACTTTTGCGCAATTTTATCACGTTTTGTTGAGGCGTTACAGCTGCAATACTCATGAAGCTGTTGTGTTGTGGGTGGGGCGTTGACTGACCCGCTACTGTAGTGTCAACGTCCCCCGCACTTCGGCATCTGCGGAGACATCCGGCTTCTTGGGCACTAACATCCGACATATACGATCCGTAAACGCCAGTAGTAGTGCATCGGAGCATGTAGTAAGACCACGTACATCGTGTAAGACGGATGATGATCCGAGGATAGAGCGAGGTGCGATATCGCAGCAACATCGCATCCCTCATATCGCTCACGGTCTCTCACTCCTTCACGCATCCACCCATCCACACATCGCGAAAACATCTCACAATGTCACAAAAGCTTGATATACTGATCATTGGTGCGGGTCTATCGGGCCTCTCTGCAGCGATACAATGCGCGCTATCAGGTCACCCAGTCACGGTGTTGGAGGCCGCCAAAGAACTTGCTGATGTAAGCCACGTCGTCGCCAACTTCATCCCTTTTATGCACCATACTCACTGGTATCCTAGATTGGCGCTGGCCTTCAATTGACGCCTAATTCTACACGTCTTCTCCAGCGATGGAATGTCTTCGACACTATCCGGGACCGGGTCTGCGAACCTACAACAATGACCATAATCAACTATCGCGGCAAGGTCCTTGCGCGCGAAGAGAACTTTGCCGCCAATATCCGCCGCAAGTATGGCGCACCGTTTGCTGACTGCCATCGCGTGGACTTGCAGCAAGCGTTGGCGAAGCGAGCCAAAGAGCTCGGCGTGACTCTTGTGTTGAACGCGCGAGTCACTAACATAGACTTGGGTTCTTCATCAGGTGATCGAGCGCGGGTGAAAACGTCCGAGGGACAGAAGTTTGAGGCTGATTTGATAGTTGGCGCCGATGGATTATGGTCCTCATGCCGATCGACCATGCTTGGACGAAACGACCCTCCGCTACCCACAGGCGATCTTGCCTATCGCATAGTCCTTAGACTCGATCAAATCGGCGATCAGAAGTTGCGGGATATGGTTCAAAATCCCGGGTGTCGATTTTGGCCAGGACCTGATGGGCACGTGGTAGCCTTCAGCATGCGCGGAGGCAACATGTACAATGTCGTCTTGGTCACGCCGGATGATCTGGAAGAAGGGGTCGCAAGAGTAGAGGCTAACTTGGACGAGATGCGGAAGCTCTTTGTGGGGTGGGATCCGGTGTAAGAAACCCATACCCCATCCAGTTCGTACGCAATAAGCTCACATGTAGTAGCCTAACCCAGCTTCTTGAGTATGTGGACAAGGTAGACAAATGGAAACTGATGCACCGAGAGGAGATGGATTCGTGGATCAATCCACAAAACAATCTCGTGCTTATCGGCGACTCCTGTCACCCGATGCTACCATATCTCGCCCAAGGTGCGAACTCTTCGATTGAAGATGGCGCCGTCCTGGGCCTATTGTTGGCGCCAGAGCACTTCACGGACAAGTCACAGTTACCAGAGACATTGCAGCTCTTCCAAAGCCTGCGAAAGGCGCGAGGCGAAGGCATAGCAAAAGAGACGTTCAAGCAGCGGAGAGATTTCCATCTTCGGGATGGACCGGACCAGGAGAAACGCGACGAACTGATGCTGAGCCAGCTAGGCAAGGAAACAAAAGCCCCATTCCCAAGTCGCTGGACATGTCCCGAAGTACAGCCTTGGCTTTACGGTTACGACGCGATGAAAGAAGTAGAAGCCGCTACGCAGAAAAGCAAGTTGTAAAGGGAAGGTTCTCAGAACGTTGGAAGACAAAAAGGAAGCCTGAAAAGAAATGTTCCCGGGACGTTGGAACGTACAGACGCCAGCCTCGGTTGCTAGGCACGACATGGGTTGTTAGCTGAAGAGGTCGATGTTAGCGAAGTCACGATTCATGATTGATGTTCCACTAGGGTATCGTGAAACTAACTACATGACGACGTGCCGAGGCTCGTCACAATGTCGACAAGGGTTAAGCGCCAGCCCTACGCCAAAGAATTCCATCTGTCGCACCTTGTCATATATTCGAGATGACTGAAAGACGTTGACCTTCTTGGCAGACGACGCAATGGCCGTCTTCAAGTAATAATGGATGATCACTTCCAAGTGATGATAGAACTTCACGGCCATGTTTGACCCAAGAAATTCCAGGACAGCATGCCCGTCGCAGCTAGATTCAAATCTCGCCCACCTGCCCTAAGTGATCATACCTAGTCCTTGACTCATACGCCGTCCAGTTTCCCTACCGGACCGTTGCCACTAAACATTGGCTAACATAACGGGACCATGAAACAGGGCTAGCAACCCGTCCTCATCCGCCGCTAACATACCTCGACAGTCACGTCACGTTACGTCAAAACGCCAACGAGATTCTAAAACACAAACACCCCAGTGTCAATCACCCTCACATTTACAAATGAAAGGAACAAAAGCAATGCCATCAATCCGTAGCATCACCGATACCGCGTAACTCAACACTGGGCCGTACTATACGCCGATCATGACCCACGAATCCACAACTTACCCTAGTTACACATCAAAGAAACCTGCAGAGAAGACGGAAAGCGTGCTTGGCTAGTCCTTTCCTCATCTTGTGCTCGGCTTCAAAAGCAACGGTGTTTCGAAATTGCCAACGGTATACCTTGTGGGAATCATCGACCCCGCTCAGCACGCCGAAGAAGGAAGTGGAAGATGAATGGTATAAGATGGTGAAGGTCCGGAAGCGATTCAAGGGCATCATCGACTCAGATCTCACATTCGCTTCTCTTCCGCCTTGTCTATTTGGCTTTTCAGTCTTTCAGCTGTGCAGTGCACTGACTCTCGTTTCTTGCTTGATATACCAAAAATCACTTCAGCGTCCTATCTTATAGCTCAACATGAAGTACCACGCTGCTCAGGCTCTGTCTCTTGCTAGCATAGCTAGCGCATTCCCTCATCCTCAACTCCCTACTTTCACGTTGCCCAATGGAGGTCTAGTAGGTGACTCAGGATCTGGCTCCAGCTCCAGTTCTAGCTTTGGCTCAGGTTCCGGCCTAGGCTCAGGTCTTGGAAGCGGACTTGGTGGAGGTTTCAGTCTGCCTACAAACCTCCCCGGTCTCGGGGGAGGTTTCAGTCTTCCAACAAGTCTCCCCGGTCTTGGTGGACTAGGTGGTGGCAGCAGTTCCGGCGGCTCCTCATTGAGCGGCCTACTCAGCGGCCTGTTCGGAGGTCTTGGAGGGGGTCTCAGTGGAGGAGGTCTGGGAGGAGGTCTAGGAGGAGGATCCAGCACCACAACCGCCGACGCCATCTCGCCCATCGCCACTCCCACAAAGACCATTGCTCCCATCTCCGCTCCCATTGCCACCGGCGGGGCCGGCGCTGGAACAAACAGCACAACCCCCACAACCCCAGCCCCAGTCACCAACCCAAACTGCAAGCCCCAATCCGGCACCGCCTCCCCCTTCGGCGGCAGCGAAAACGGCGTCAAAGAAAACGCCTGCTGTACCGACATGACCGTCATCTTCGCACGCGGCACCGGCGAAATGGGCAACGTAGGCACCGTCTCCGGACCCCCCATGTTCAAAGCCATCCGCGTCAAACTCGGCAACGACCGTGTCACCGTTCAAGGCGTAGACTACGCCGCTTCCGCCGCTGGAAACATCAACCTTGGTGGTGATGGCGGGCAGAAGATGGCTGATTTGGTTCAGTTGGCTAAGAAGCAGTGTCCCAGCACCAAGATCATCCTTTCTGGGTATTCGCAGGGTGCTATGGTTGTGCATAATGCTTTTAGCAAGGGGGTATCTGCGGGAGATGTTGCGGGTGCTGTGTTGTTTGGGGACCCATTGAAGAGGCAGGCTATTAGTGGGTTGGCTGCGGATAAGGTTAAGCAGTTTTGTGGCACGGTGGATCAGATTTGTGGTGGAGGCGGTGATGGTGGTGCTACTGGAAGTCACTTGAGCTATGGTAGCAGTGCTGAGGCTGCTGCTACGTTTGCTATCCAGGCTGCTGGTTTTGCCTAGATAGGGTACAACGTTACACGATGGTAGGAGATGGGACATCCTCAGGAATGACTCGCCGGATCGGATGTTGGTTTCTTTAGCTGTATATACTCGACCACATATGTCACTCCTTTACCTCTCTCATTCACCCATCACCGCCGTATTTCCTGATCAGATTATTCATGATACCAACTGCCCCACTGCGATAACTTCCACCAAACATCGCATAGTGATTGAGGTGGTGGTATAGCTCATACAGTTTCACTCTATCCGCATATTCTTCCACCGGCTCCGTCTTCGGACATATTTCGTGGTACTCTTTCAGAAAGCTCCCACCGAAGCCGCCAAACATCTTCATGATGCCGAGCTCAAACTCGCTATGCGCGTAGCAGGCCGAGGAGTCGTAAACCACATCCTCTGGCTCGCCCTTGTCACTTCCAATGACGCCTACACTCGCATTTCCGCTCCAGAGGTCGCCATGTACAACAACAGGTGTAACGCCTTTTCCATTATTGAGATGCGCATCGCCAATAAGTCGCGGCACTACTTCCGAAGCAGTTCGCTCAACTAGCTTCCGCACCTCACCGTCCCGCCTACCCCTCTGCTCTGCATACCGCACAATGAATCTAAGGCGATTCTCGGCGTAGAAATCTGCCCAGCTTTCCTTATAGCTGTTATCCTGGGGTGTATCGCCGCAACAGGTTGTCGCCGGGAAGCCGAACATGGGCTTATCGTAGCCCTCTGGGTTGGGTGCGGGCGTCGTGTGCAGCTTTGCCAGCTTGGCTGCTAGCGACTGTGCCTTTCCCGACTTTGAGCCAGACCGTCCTGTAAGGTGTAGGAAGTCGGTCACGAGGTATGAAGTCGATGGTTGCGACTCAAATTGGCCATGTCCGAAAGATTGTGGACATAGCGATGGAACGACGTCGTGGATAGCTTTGAGGGACGCGTGTTCCCCTTCATTGCGCTGTTAGTCAATTAGCTAGCCCGGCTACGCCAATGGATGTCGCATACCTTCAAACATGACTTCTGCCTCCTTTCCACTGCCCGTCTTCATGAAGAACGCCTTCTGCGTACCATCATCGAGTTGCGACACGATCTTGGACGTTGATGCAAAGCTGCTACCGCCTCCGACAGACGAAATATTTGTCTTATCGGGGTTCAAGCCAAGAAGCTTAACAACTGCTGGATCGATTTTCATGCTGGCTTGAGTAACGAGGGAGCGTGCGAATCTGCACATGACATGGTGGGTCGCACGCGCGCGAATGTTTGAAGATGCGGAGTGTCGGTGACGTCAGTCTTATGCCCGTGATTATATTGGAGTTATACAGGAATCGCTTTGCATTAATATATTACAGATCAAGTCTATGTACATGATGTTCCGTCAATTTTCTATGGTAATTAGGCATGCAATCTTTAACTGGGAATCGTAGCTTTCGTTTCCATCAATGCATCCAAACTCCACCTGTACTGTAAGCGCTCATCATGCTGCTCATGGTGCTTGTCCTCCGCCTCCACGCAAATTATACACTACATCCTCCTCACATCACTACCCTCAGCACCATACCCCAAGGTTCTTCCCTGTGCGCCAGCCATGCTGCTACTCCCACTTATTCCCCGCTTGTGCCCTAAGTCCACGCTCCCTCTCCCATCTCCAATGGCTCTCCTTCCGTCGATCCCCTGACTCACCATCCTTCCGCTAAACTGGTGCCAGCAGTTTGGTGCTTGCAGGATGTACTTTTCCATCGCAATCCGGAACCTATTGCGATAGTCACGTGGGGATGTGATGGTTGGTTTGTTCTTGCCCCGATCTTTGATCCAACTCTCGAGCTTCTTATCCCATGTATATGTACGGATGCAGTCGATGATGCCGACAATGATCTCGCGATTCGTATCATCAAATCCAGCCATTAGCGAGTAGTCCATGACGTTGTTCTGAGATAGGAAAAGCGTGTCGTTGAAGACGCTGGCCTTGAGCAGCTTCTTTGTGTGCTCGCGCACAAAAATGGGCGTTTCCGAATAGATAATATCCACCAGGTTCTCGTCCAAAAGCACCTCATCGCGTTCGCCCGTCGCCTGAATCTTTCGGTTCCGCATACTACCCTTGAGATCGTAGCGCCGGTTAGGTTCGCGATCGTAAAAGAGGTTTTCCATGACGAGCATGTACCAGTCGAAGTCGCGACCGGTCGGTGTCTTGATTTGCACTTGGAAGAGACCAAACATCTTGGCGATGACGCTGGGTAGGGATTTGAACAAGTTCTGATGGGTGAAAGCAAAATAGTTGGGGCCAAACTTGAAAAAGGCCTGTACTTCTACTGGAGAGAGGGATTTGAGGACGAAGCGGTCGTCGAGTGTTTTCAAGAAGATGGACTTGGACTTTCCGCCCTTAGAGTCCCATTTCGAGCAGCGAGAGAGGGATTCGACGAAACGCTCTGCGACGCCGCATTTGCGACGGAGAGCGTCGAACGACTGAGCATAGAAGATCTTGCAATGTGCCTTGACTCCGCGATTCGTGAAGCTATAGCGAATGTTGTGATTCTCTTCATGCAAGAGATTACGCTCGATTGACTCCTCGAAAGTCTCCAAGTGACCCGATGCTGAATTGTCCTCACGGAACGAATGTCGTTTGGCGACATAATCAGGACACGACAACGCCAAGGCGATGATGGAACTCGGCTCGTCTTCCCGGATGATAATGTCAGAGTTCTCCCAGACATGTTCAATCTGCGAGAAGGGGTATTCAAGCGGTGTCCATCCACTTGCTGAGCGCTCAGACCAGAAGCTCGTCAGTATCTTGAGCAGCGTGTTCTTTTCATGTTTGGGCAATTCAAGTGAGTTTTCAAGTTGAGAATCACTCAAGTTCAGCAGCTGAGAACTGGCGAGGCTGTCTGGCAAAGGAATGTCCTCGGGTGTAATATCGGCATCGCTAATGTCGTTATCGTTATCTGGTTGGAACTGACTCGGGATTTCTGGTGACTGATCGCTACACGGGAGTTCTGCTGTCAGATCTTTGGTCTGTCGCTCTTCGACTGGAGATTGCGATGCTATCGTCATATCGTCCGTCTGTTCTGTAAGAGTACTATCGTCGAGCATGCTGTGATCCAAACTTTCATGTGTAGGTGAGCCACCAGGCAAGTCTTCGTCAGAGTCCTCATTCTCTTGCACGGCGTCGTGTACGTTCTTATACACCTCGACAACTGGCTTTGAAGAGGCTAATGGAAATGCACGCACTTGTCTAGCTCTGTCGTTTCGCCGCTCACGCATGCGCTGATTCTGAAATTCTCTCGAGAGCTGTTCAAAGTGCTGCGCAATCTTCGACACCTTGTTGGGGCTCTTGTAGGGAATCGAACGTGGAATTCGAGAGGAGTTCTTGGACTGTTTAGGGGTACTCAGCCCCAGTCCCAGTCGCTCAGTCATGCGCTCAAACGCTCTGGATGTGTCCCCAGTATTCGGCTTCAGTGCGGCAGGCCCACTGTTGAAGACAGAGGGGCTAATATGCTTGGCAATGTTTCCCGGCTGAGACTGTGTCCTGACAAGTGTAGCGGGTCTCTGCACAGGCTCCCGTCGGGCATTGTCAACAAGACGTGGTATTTTACTTTCTACGTTCGGGTTGGGGCCTGATTGCAAGGTTGACGGCGAAGTGGGCATGTTCTCGATCGCTTCCGCAAGAGACTTATCGATAGGATTCACCTTGGGATAACTCGTAGGAGTGGGTGACCCTTCATCGAATTTGTTGGGGTCAGAAGCACCGGTAGGAGTTTCGCTGTCTTCAGTAGTAACCGTGGGACTGTCGGGAAAGTTGGACGGAATCGCAAGATCAAGGTGGCGGATATCGTCTCGCTCCAGTGCTTCGCGTGGCGTTTGTATGGGCAATTCGGAACTGAATCGTGGCGAAGTAGGTGTTTTGTGCTCGGGAGATGTAGTACTACCGTCGGCAGGCTGATCGCTAGCCGAACTCTCTTCCTTCACCACGGAGCTCAACATGTCGCGAGCCATCTCAGGCGACATGTTGGAAGGCCTTGGAGACAGGGCAATTGAATCATCCTTCTCGTCAAGGTATGAATCGTCTGCACCCGACTCTGTGCCCTCATCCACCGATGCCAGAGAGCTCGTAGATTCGTCTCGCTCCAAAAATCTCTTCAGCTGCATATTTGCATATCTTCTGATGTCTCGCTCTGATGGGAAGAATTGTTGTTCGAACTCCATGAATGTCACGTCCCAGGCAATGGCCTTTTCTTGTATTGCACGGATTGCGCGATTCATGGGAATGATCTCGTAGTACTTGGAGCTCATGTACTTGTCCTGGAGTTTGGCCTTTAACCACTCGTGTTCCTCATTGGTGCGTTTGAGAAGTATATCAACCTCCTTTCGACACAAATCAACCTTTTCCGGAATGACGTCCTCGACATGTATGCCCTGAATTCGAGCGCGCAAAGAGTTCATGAAACAGTCCAGCTTTTCCTCAATCATCAGATACTGGCTGTTCTTCAACCTCAGGTCGCTGTCCACTTTCCAGGTAACGTTTGGTTTTGGCGCAATGACCTCGTACATGGGTACAGGATCGTACTGGATACGAAGAGCTACATTATTGTATCCAAAGTAGCGAACATGGTCCTTGTGGATGTCGTGGGGACATATGCCTGCTCTCGGATGCAGCTTCGTGCTCCAAAAGGTCAACTCGAGATACTTTGCAAACGAGTATCTCCAACTCCACTCCGACATTGGAAAAGTCTGCGTCTCCTGACCACACACCCTGCAGCAACTCCACATGAGAATAGTTTGATACATTCCCTTGAGTTTTGGTGGATGTTTTTGTACTATAACGGTCATCTGGCCTTCTCCATGGACATATTGACGAGAATGATCGAGCATTCTTCGGTCGCAGTTGCCCACTTCGCAAGCGACGCCGGCCGAGGTACACAGGTCTTCTACGTACTGTCCCAGTGTGCAGTCTGGTGTGAATCCGTCGTCGTAGTCGTGCTCTTGGTAAAAGCCAAGTGCAATGATTTCTGGCCCGATGCAGGGTGTAGAGGTTGTGGTATTAACAACGCTATACAATACAGCAATCTTCTGATGGTTGAAAGGGTCGTAGAGATCTGTGTTGCCTGAGAGGTACTGTTCCCATTGCCGCTTCTGTGTCATGTACTGGTGCATCGCCTTATCGTACTCCGATGCATGCACTGCAGATAAGAACTCGCGAACCTGTTTTGAAGCCTTTTCTACCACGGTGTGAACCATCTCGGGCTGCACGAGTTCGAACTTTTGGCCAACTTCTCCGGGCTTCTCATCTTCCTGGTCGTCGGCAGTGTACTGGTTCTTTAGTTTCTTCAGATGACCCAGTTTGGCCTCATACTGACGAGCCTGCTCAAGCAGATATGGCTGCATAAACTTGACAAATGGAGACGAAGAGAGAATCTTGGTTCGGTGGTTCTCGACCATATCGCTATAATACGAAGGCGCGGCATCATTGGTCTGTGTGTCGTCACCGTCCGCTGTCCGCTGGACGGCGTCTGCGGTATTCTGTGGTTGCGCGGCGTCCTGCTCGTTTTGGCTTGATGCAAGAGTGCCGATGATGGAAGTCGTGGGTGTGTCTATGAACTCATCCCGCATGAGGCAAGTCTCAAGACGCAGGTTGTACACAACATATGTCATGAACTCGGTGACGCGTTTCAATTTGACCAACTCCTGGCTCTCGGCTCCCCTCAAGACAATTGTACACCCGAGCTCCTTCTGGCATCCCGATAGAAAAATATAGGTTTTTCTTGCGTTCTTGTGCACATACGTTTTCACGTCGAAGCTGCCACAAGAGCCAAGATGAGAAGGGTCTGTCGCAAGTTTGTCCACGGAGGAGATCATCTTAGAATTTGTACACCTGGCGACTGCATTCAACACCGTGGGCTTGACGTTGTATACCACGGCAATGCCCTCCTTTTCTAGGAACTCGAGAGCTAAGCCGGCCACGTTGCGCTGTACCAACAAGACGTGAGGCTCAAGAGCTGCAATGCGGCTGACTAGGTTGCGGAGATACTCCCGCTCCTGTGCGATGACTGGTTCGAGGCTCATGAAGTGCGCCTGGTGACGCGCGTATTCGATAGCGAATGTTATGATAACAATCCTTGGATTAGGAATGCTGCGTGGCATGCTGCGTAGAGCGACATTCTTTGTGAAGACAACCCCCGAGACGTAGGCTGTATCCTTGGGCTTACCGCCCGGGATTTTCTTCAGTTTGATGTAGTTCCTCACGTCGATGTCGTCGCCCCTGTCCACGTCCGGGTTGACGTCATCTGTACACTGGCGTAAGATTGGAATCAGGGCCCTTTCCCAATTTGAAGCATGTGATACACCAGCATCGTGCAGCATTTGAATCAACAGCTTCCGCGCATGGTCGAGGCTGGCCTTGTTGAGCTCAACTTTGGGAGTCATGCCTTGCATTGACGCACTCCGTGTGATTCGTGATCCAGATGGTGTGGGCGATGGAGATGGCTGCAATTGTGGTGTACCTGGCCCACTAGCGCCGTAACCGGTGTAAGGTCTCAACAATGAGTTGCTCTTCGATCGTCTTGGTGATGCCCTATGGGTCATGCTACTTACGCTAAGGTTTCTCCGCCGGGAAGGTCGATTGCCGTTGCGGCTTGCGATGCTAACATTATCTGCATCTCGAGCGTGGCTTGTGCCGAAGACGCTCCTGTCGCCAGGCCTTGATTTGCCCTTTCTCATTGCGGCCAACAGACCACCCAATCCCCCTCGCTCGCTTTCCAGATTGGCAGTAGCCGTGGGATCGTCTTTCAGGGTCGCAAAGATACTGGGGTGCTCTTCCTCACTCGAGCCATCGTCAGACATGAAGGGAGCGAGATCTGGATCGATGATGTTGTCATGGTGGAAGGCAGACAGACTTGGCTGACTGCGTGAATTGTCATGATACTGATGGAAAGGGGCTCGATCATCGTGCTTGACGTTGCGCATATGTTGGTGTTTGGAAGGGTGGCGTTTGTGGCTCGACGACCGCGGTCTTCCCCCCAGGGACCGCAGAGATCGCGAAGAACTCGGCCGGGCCAGTGTCTGTGGACCAACTTCTATGACATGGGGTCGACGCTTCTTCTCATTGCCTATTTTCCTAGACATGGGGATGCTGATTGTCGGCGTCCCGATTTTGGTGTGATCGCTCTCGACATGGTCAGCCTCTTCCTGGTCGGAGTACTGGGCTGTGTCGCCAGGATCATATATGGAACCCTGATCACCGTCGTCTGTGTAATCAGATGAATCGTCATCGTGGCCATAGATGATGCCCTCACATGGCTTGCACACCTTTAGATTACTCTGCTGGCCAAACATCTTGCCAGATACTATCGACGTGCATTTGGAGTCAAAAATCTGTCCGCACGTGCGACAGTGATGCTTGCGCCGAAAGGTAGTAAAGGCATCACCACAATTGAAGCAGGCTTTGGCGTTCTCGTCTCGCATCCAGAATTCGCGGTCCAAGATTTTCCTCCGCATCTGGGTGAAGGTACTCCTCGACATTGTATTTGCAGCAGGCGCAGCTTGGACTTGTCGCTGAATTTCCTCAATAGGTGGGACGGTCGGCATGCGAATTGTAGAAGCTGTAACGACGGAGCTCAGGCCATCAGAAGAAGAAGCGCGTGAAGGGCGAAAACCGGGGAGATGTGAAGGGCCTACGTGGACCAGTGGCGGGCGCTGTGGCTCTGGTGCATGCGTTGTAGATTGGTTGACTGCGACACGATTGGGTTGAGTGCCCTCTGCAGAGTTCTCAGGCAGCTCCCTGTTGGGCACAGAGCGATTGGGCTGATACTGGCTATCCGTCCGAGAACTTACTCTGCTAAGACTCTCACGTGGGGTATCGGATCCGGTCTTGCTATCGCCTGTGGAGGCTTGACCGATTGCACCGCCCAAGTCGTCGTCGTCGTCAGTGTCGTCACTCTCCTGGCCGACGAGATCAAAGTCACCTTGTTGTCTTGGAGCAGCGTTTTCTCGGCTGAAGCGGGGTGAGTCTACCTTCTGGCTTCCCAGTGCAGAGTCCCTCGGTGTATTACTTCGTGGAAGGTCGATGGTGGAGGTGCTGTGGTTCTTGGAGTGGATACTCACAGGACTCTTGATATAGACTTCGTCCTGTTTCGCAGGGCCAGGCTCGATGCTTGCGCTTATTGACGGGCGAGACCGCGAGGCCTTGCTTGAGAAGGTGGTGCTGGATATGTTGGAGTCGCGCGAGGGCGGGAGGGTTTCGGGGAAGGTGGCCGTCGCTGGCGACTGCAGCCTTGATGGTGGCAGAGCTACGAGTTGGGGTGAGGATGTTGAAGTTCCTCCAGGACTGTTGCGGTTGCCAGCCGCTGGCGGAGTGCCAGTCCTGGAAACGCCATTGCCAGACCCATCTTGTGCTTGTTCCCTGCTCCCTCCTCCTACCGAAGCCCGTAGACGGCTATAGAGCCCACTAAAGCCTCCCTGTACCAACTCTATGCCCTTGGGCTCGCCAACGACCGAGGGGGCGGGGGGGACGGTGAAGTCGTCAAACGTGGTGAGCGTGTCGGAGCGAGATGCTACGGCATGCATCTGGTGCAGTGAGGGCTGTAGCGACCCCCGCCGAGAGTCCCTAGCCATGGCTGTACAAATGGGAGGACGGTTGGGGATCGATTACAGTGAATGATAGCATCAGGCTTTATGGAGCATCACTGACGGTAGGTAATAGGTAGAGCCGAGCACGTCACAACTACCAACTCGACCCACGTGTATTGGAATTATCGGGCCGGGCGAGGAATTAGGTGGGGTGACTATGGGACTTCATCATCGACCATGGGAGGTGGGAGCAGGGTCCAGGCATCAACGGTAAGCTACTGCTCGAGTTGCGACATCACGGGACGTCGAGTATGGAGAAGCTTGGAAAGCTGGCGATGCTACCGCTACTGCTAGACGCATGCAATGACGCGCCGCCGCCGCCGCCAAGCCCTCCGAGGTTCCACCCCACCAAGTCGCCGACAGCCTCGCCTGCGTGCTGATTATTGCCCGCTGGCTGGTGCTAAGCGCCGTGAGAATTGGCGCTAGAAGAGTGGTGGTGGATAGTAAAATGTTGCTAGTCATTGATCCTTCCCTTCCCTAACATGATCCATGGGCGAGCGGCGCACACGGGCGAGCGGCGCACCCCACCAACTTTTGCAACTTTAAAGCGATGCATCTCAACAACGCGATAATATTATTGCTAGATATTGATACAGTAGATTACTCTATATTAATAGTATCAGTCTTGCATGTGCGCGAGTTGTGCCCAGTCTCCTTGCACCTAGTGCAGCGCCTTTGAGCCCGCTGGCTGAGGCCTGATCGCGCTCCTCCTTGACGCTCTTCATGAGCAATCTGCTGGTCAGCCTCATTTTGAGCCAGTATGTCCTCTCCAGCTCCCTTTGTGAGTACTCCATGCTTCTGTATACGCCTTTTAGAGCGCCGCCTACGCGCTGAGGCTGCGCTATTGGCCTTCTCAAGACTAGAGATCCGATCGCGCATCAGCTCAGCAGAGAGCATCATCACCTCGGCGCCCTTCTTTAGCTGGTCAATCGCCATAATAATTGAAGCTGGTGATGAGCTCTTGTGCTGGCGCACGCGCTCACGTATTAGGCTTGACTGAGCCTCAAGCTCACGCGCGTTGCTCGGCGTTTGAGCTACCCAGGGAGCCTCTGGCAGAGCTGCTGGAGGAGTAGGTGTACGCAGTTGTACATCTACCTTTGATAGAACAGCCTCTGGTTGTAGAGGAACAAGGCCTGCGCCGCGGAAGGCTGAGCAGATATTGGCTGGCGTGAACGCTTGATCAAATGCTGCCTTGAACGCTGGCAGAAACTCTAGCTTGGTGATGTGGTTGATGTGGTTGCGCATAAGGCTCTCCACCTCACGGCTGTACGCGCGCTTCAATGGCGAGAAGCAGCCAACATCAAGTGGCTGGAGTAGGTGAGATGAGTGAGGAGGCATACAGAGCGTATGGATATTGTTCTCCTTGCAGAGCTCCTGGAACTCTAGAGATTGGTGGCTCTTATGGCCATCAATAATAAGCAGGCGACGCGCGCCTACACTACGAGCCTGCGTGTGAGCGTTGAAGTGCTTTAGCCACTCAACTCCAAGCTCATTATTCGTCCAGCCATTATCGCTGACTGCGATCGCCCAGTCGCGTGGGATCTCAGCTTCCTTATACCAGGCTGATAGGTGGTACTGGCCAGCGAAGATGAGGAACGGTGGGACTGACCAGCCAGCAGCGCTGATAGCAGCGATCAGCGTTACCCACTCGCGATTGCCTGGCTGAATACTCTTCGGCCTGCCTCTCCTCTCTGCTCCTGTTATAACTAGCTGCGTTGTAATCTTGCCCATCATAAAGCCAGCTTCATCAAAGTTGTAGACGTCCTCATCGCAGATACCTAGCTCAGCCTTTGTCTCTTCTACAAGCTTAAACCACCTCTTTATTAATGTTGCATCCTCACAAAGAGCTCTCTGCCTATCGTACGCTTGGTTGAAACACGTCCGAAGACTGTCTGTACGCTTAACAAAGGTAGATGGCCAGTTGACTCCAACCTGCTCTCCACCACGCGCAGCCAGCAGCTTATCAGCCATATCACGTACAGCTGTGTAGGTAGGCGCAAATCCACGCAGATCTAGCTGAAGTATATAGCTAATAATCACCTCCTCTTCTCTCTGGGTAAGCTTCCTTGAGTTGGGCGGGCAATCGCGTCGGGCAGGTATACCAGCGCGTCGGCGGCGGAGCGTTGTTTCGGCTACGTTGTAGACTACTGCAGCAGTACGGGTACCTTGGATCTGGTGCGCATTAATAGATGAGATAGCAAGCTGAATATCTGCTTCATTTGATAGTAATTGAGTAGCGCTGCGTTGAGCCATTGTAGATTAAGATCAGTAAGGTGAGTAAAGTTGGTGGGGTGCGCCGCTCGCCCGTGTGCGCCGCTCGCCCATGGATCATGTTATGGTTATAATAGAGAATCGAAAATGACAATCTCAATGCTCCGCCCGCTGCACCTGGCCATCTCACCGCACCCGCTATCCACATCGCGCCGGGAGCCAACGCGTCGCGTCCCCCGCACAACGCCAAACAAACAAAACACATGGCCGTCTGCCCCAACGCCTGGCTCGAGGAAACTATCCAGGCGCAGCTCCTTTTAGGCAGCCACTGGTTACGGCAGAGGTACGAGCAGAAAGCATCTGGCGTCCGATTCAAGCTGGATAGGGACTGGGAGGGTGTCTACCACGACAACGGTTCCTGCCTAGATATAATTGATCACATAGACCCTGAGAGCAACAGTACACTGCAAGTCCTACAGGCACGTGATATCAAAATGAACGCTGTTTCTGCCATCAGTCCCTAACTTGCTCTAGACCAATCCGCTCACCCTTACCGACGGCCTGCATCGAATCGTCGCCCATATCACGCCCTGCACCTATTCACGATTTCCCGAGGGCACTGTTATTTCCGTCCATAGTTACACCATACGACACACATCCTACGGGCCACGGCGGGACAGACTGCGCTTCATACTGCATCAGGTGGATTGGGTAGGCGCAAACTTCATCAACGTCTACAAAAACTCTCCACACATACGACCCCTTGATAAGAGCGAGAAAATCTGCGAATTGGTCCAGGAGCTACGCAAGACCCGCGCGCAGGAAGACTTTCGACGCCTAGCAAAATATAGCGAGCCCAAAGTGCCTGAGCCCGTAATGGCTGCACCAGATGATGATGAAAACCCTCATTCTCAGGCGGCGTATACTCAGCTAGCGTCCGCGACGCAGGCGCCTCGCCCCATTCCATCTCGTTCAAAGGGAAATGAGCCTGTCCTGGCGGGTGATACACAACGGGGGGAAGTAGAAGAAGACGCTGCTAAGTTGCTCAGCCTTCTCGATCATTTAAACACCGGGAAACCAAGAGCAGTGGCTTCTGATGATTCCATGCCAAATACTATTAGTAGACAGCCAACTGTTCCTGGATCACCTACATCTCCCAAAGCCACGTCCGCCACGCCTCAATTACCACCACCACGAGAAGAATCAGAGATTGAACCTGTACATTGGGAATCACCCGCCCCAGCCCACCGCAAGAAGCGACGGAAAGAAGCTAGCACTGCTAAGACCAAGTCCGCACAGGCCGCTCAGCTTGACTTCTCTACACAGAGAGATGATGAGCCCAGAAAAGCTACTACCCACATTTCTCAATGCTCCTGGATGCAGGGTATTATTTTTAATCGCGACACGCTCAAAGTGCCTAAGCTACAACAAGAATGCCTGAGTAAAGATACAAGCTGGCTAAAGCCACAACCTGGACTGCAGCCATTTCAAAATGGCAACATGCCCCAATCAATCCTTCAGGTGATTAATCGCATAGCTGATGAGAGGGCTACGATGGAAGACGGGGTCAATACGGATGATGAATCTGACGTCGATCCCTCACCTGACTCTTTACCTCTCCCAACGCAGAATGACGAGGTTGCGAGTACCGTGTCTTGGTCTCCCAGTCCGGAGCCACCACAAATGCCAGTAAAACCTGTGCAAGGACTCCCACCCGACTCTAGTATCGAGAAACAAACTTCAAGTGCAGAGCATACATCCGGCTCACAAGCAAAGCTATCCACTCAACAATCTGAACAAGTCGATTCAGACGAGGAAATGGAAGATTTCCTCCCGCAAGCACTGGGTGAAGATCTAGCAGAAGCGGGGAAATCGGACTCAGCTGATAACCGACCCTCATCACTCCCTGAGAAAGCACGGTCTTTTGTCCAGGTGAGAGAGACGCCTGTCGCAAAAAGTAAAATTTTCAAGGGCGCCGTTTCCGACGCATGTGCAAAGGAAGGGTCAGAGGCAAGCAGCCAAGAGCCACATGCGGCATCTACGTCAATCGTTCAGAGTACATACGATATGTCAAAAGCCAACGCCACTACCGAAGCTGAGCGCGATCATGTTGCTGTAGTGGAAGATCCAGAGCCTGTTTTACAGGACGAGATTCCGGATGCCAAGCAATCTGAAGCTGAAGCGCACGACAGCCGGATGGTTGATGCGCAGGATGTGCGAACATCTGGCGAACAGTTGACAAGAATAGTACCAGTCCGAGAAGAAGACTCCAAGAACGCTGCGCCTTTGATAGCAGGGACTTCAGTTGGAAATGCAGCGCCTACTGTTCCAGCAAACGTACCACCAAACCCTAAGCAACTGCCCTCAAAAAATAGCGACTCGGAAATGTCGCCAAGCATCCCTCAGCCTACTTCTAAAGCGATCAAACGAAAACTTGCTAATTCTCCGGATAAGAGTGGCCGAAAACAGTCAAAGAGGCGAGAGATCAAGATTGTGGGATTCAGTAACGATGTTGTGCCTGTTACCGTTGACCCAGTAGCGGCGCTGCGCAAGGAGCGAGAAGAATCGCTGCGCAGGTTTCAAGAAGAACGAGAACGCAGATCAAGTGCAAACATCGATAGTCGACGTGGAGCTGCAGCCTCGATTGCAAAGGGAGAGGATGTCGATAAGATGGATGTTGAGAGGGGACCTCCACGTGCGATGTCTCCTCGACATCAGAGCTTGTATGATGAGCCAAGTCCTATGAGAGAACGCACTACGTATCCAACCTCGCAATCCGTCTCAACAACTGCCAAGAACAAACTTCCACCACAATTGAACCACCAATCCTCTGGTCGTGCAACCGAGAAGGCGCCAACAGAGCAGCCTTCCGCAAAGTCTGATCAGAATGGCCATAAGACCATCTTTCAGACCTTCAAAGAGGCGTACCCAGAGTACACTGGGGATCTGAACCATTTCAAGAAACAGTGCGAACAAATGTACAAGCTCGAGCAAGAAGATAAGATGGTGCCAAAGTGGCAGTGGGACGATTTCATCATTCGAAACAGAACAGACTACAAACAGTATGCCATGGAATGCATCGACCAAGGAGAGAGTCCAGAACCTTATCACCGCTTCTACAAAGACAACATACGCGACACGCTCTACAACAAGGGCATCATTAAAACCACAAAGGTGCTGCAGAACGCACTCGATGAAATGAACGGTCAACCCACGCAACTTCAACCTCAACCAGCACAAGCACGCGCGCCCGAGAAACGTCCCTATCAGCCACCCACAACACACTCACCACACCCAACCCAACGAACAAACCCGCACCCCAACCCCACACCCACACCAACCAGAAAACCACAATCCTCCAGAAAATCCCTTCCCTCAACATTCCACCAACCCAAACCAACCCCACAACCCCGCATCAACAACGCCCACCCTCGCCCCCGGCACTCCCTCGCAACCCAACAACCCCAACCACGACCCCGTCCCCCAGCCCGCCAATCCACCTCTGCCATCCCCGCCTCCACCAGCGTCCCCCAACCCACAACCGAAGAAACCACCGGCGATCCCTTCCGCGACTACTATTTCGCCGTCCAGCGCTCCACGTCTTGGACCGGTAGCACAGAAGTGAGTCCAAAGCCCTCCAGCAGTCGCACCGCTAGAAAACCTTCGCGGGACTAAAACGTGCGTCAATTTTGTAGGTAGATGAGAGGCAAGATTGGCCTCAGAACTTGGCTGTTCGACCGAGTGTTGCGGAGTTGTTGCGGAAGAGGAAGGTGGATGTGCTGGAGTGGAGTGATGTTTTGGGGGAGGGGGGCTGAGGGGGAGGGAGAGGTTGCTTGGTATGAACTTTTTGGTTTGGTTGTTGGATTTGCCTTTCTTGCCGATATATGGATAGCTGGGTTGGTCTTGTATACAATCACGATGAGTAGTGGCTGGGAGGAAGCTTATTGGATATCATTTGGATTCTATATAACGATTTGAGTATCACATGGCGAGTTTGGAGCGGGGAAAGCCCAGTACTGAGAGGAAAGAAGATGATATCAATACAACACTATAGCCATCATATCTCAGATACCACATGGTCATACGTGCATCATCCCAACATAGCACCCTACCTTTCCTTTTTCCCTAAAACCCTCCGAGAAACACCCCTCAAGACATACCCTGGCTCCTCCACCTGCCCCAGGCCTGCCACCCACTCACTCCCACAGTAACAACTAACAACATCGCATTGAAGCCCGCCATCATATAAAACGGCGCACCAGGCCCACTGCTATCAAACAAGGCGCCACCGGCCTTTGTAAGCAGCAAAATACCGAAGCCACCGAGTAAACTATACGTGCCAGCAATAGAGCCCTTGATATTGTTATGCGACGAGGGTCTGGACGACGACGCCGAGCGCGAGTGATACTGACCATACTCCGGTAGCAACGGTGCGTTTTCATCTACCGGCGTTATAGGTCCGCTATGCGGTGGTGTAGCGCCCGCAGAAGGGTGACTAGTCGTGGTATGACCACCATACACAGACAGCGAATCTGAAGAATTTGAAGAAACTTCATCGTTGTTGATACCGCGGCCTAGCAGGGCGAGAGAACAGACGATAGCACCGATTTGGCTGATGCCAAGAAGAGCGACGATGAAGAAGATGGCGCCCGTGCCGTCTTCGCTCTTGTAGTCTGGACTCGTTAGTGAGCCAAAGGCTGCGTAGCCGCCGATTCCGGATACGGCTGCGACGCAGAGTGGGATGTTGTAGCGGGGGAAGCGGCCTGCGAGGAAACCAAAGGCAGGGGCGCTCATGAGGGCGATGAGTTGGGAGATTCCTGTCAGCATTGCTGCGAGCTTGTAGGCCTCTGGGCATGCGACTTTGATGTCGGATGGTATCTTTGAGTTTGCTTTGCATTGTCCGGTTTGCAGGAAGTAGTGGTTTGTGAAGAGTGGGATGAAGAGTGATATGGCGACTGAAGATGCGCGCGCGACGAAACCGCCTGCGTAGCCCAGTCCGATGTTTGGAGATGTGAAGCCCAGGCGGATGCTCTCAAGGAAGAGGCGCGGATATGATAGTACCACGTCGCGCGTGAGATGCGAGTCTACGTCTTTGTAGTCGCCTTTGCTAGTTAGTCGTCTCCAGCCTTTTGCTTCTTCGCCAGGGAGATTGCGAAGCCCGAAGAAACAGCCCAGAGATACGAGTATGGCGATTGCACCGACAACATAGAAAGCATCTGCGACGGCGGCAGCTGGGCGCGCGCCAGCGTTTTGGAACTGAGTTGGGAGAGGCAGGAAGACGAAGAGGGCGACGAGGGCGCCGCATCCAGTGAATACGCCAACAAGTCCTGCAAGTTGCGACGTAGATGCGCCAGTATCCTTTGCCGGCGCTCTTTGCGCATGCTCTTCTGGAGACGTGGAGCGGAAGCGGGCAGGTGTGATTGTCAACTCGGAGGATATCGATGCAGCAGGCGCATGTGACCTGCCCCGACTGTGCGTCGGGGATCGCGGATCTGACTTTACGGGTTTGACAATCGTCATCGAGGGCAGAATGGCAGTGACCATGGTCGCGCTGTGCGTATCAGTTTGCACGCCCTTCGCTCTACAACTTTCAATACTCACGTCGCAGTCCCACCCAAACTGAACAGTATCCGCGCGAGTAACAACTCGGGGTACACATTCTTTGCCTGCACAAACACCCACAGCGATATACCGACAATCGCATAGCCCATTACAGCAACACTCCTCACGCCCACCCTATCGCTCAACAAACCCCAGGCCGGACATGCGACCAGTGCGACCAATTCATCTGCAAAGCCCAGAGTACCGACCGCATCGCCCACACTATGCGATTGACCGATGCGCTGTGTAATGACAAAGGATATAGAGCTGTTGAGGAAGACGAGGAAGCTGATACTGAAGAGCGCGACGCCAAATAGGTAGGATGCGATTTGCGTACGCGTCGCGGTGAAATCGAGGCCGAGCATTGTTTACGCTATGTAGCTCGCGATGAGCTGGGAACGGCTATCGTGGGCGCATTGGCGTGCCGTGATTGAACAGGACAAGGTTGATGTCGCGATGGGGTATCGGACCGAAGGGACATGATGTCAGGCTTGGTAGACGCCTGGGATATAGGGCTGAGTATGGGTCACGTGAGCGCCGCTTCCACAAGCTGCGAACAACTGATACCAGGTGGGCTAAGTATTCCCTACAGGCACATGCAAGCCTGAAACCATCAAAAGCCGCAACGGCGCCAAAACGTTTCTGACCCACTCTTGACAAGTTTATCGCCACGTTAGCTGATGACATATCGTACCTTCCAAGACATGGGACTGAAAGTCCGAATAGGGATAGAGCGTTTGATAAAACAAGTATTCATGCTTCTATTGAATGAGCTGCAATAACCCAAGCCCTCTAATAAAGCTGCCAACACCGCCAACAATGTGAGCCAAGGTATACAGCATGGAAATCCTTCGTTAATACCCAGACTGACCCATATGAAATTACTATTATATACTCATCAAGTTCGTTATCCGCACTGTAGGGCCTGCACCGGATCCCCACCATGGTTTTGGACAGGCATGTACACAAACCACCAAGCCTGCAGCTGCAGGGCTTGCCGATCACGCAGGTCTCGATTCTCACACTTTGCTCCAGCCCACAGTTTTATCTCTTCCCTGATTTGCACCCCAGTATTCCCGGGATTCTGGATAGTCACCGTTTGCTACGCCTTCTCGGAACAGGTCTTGGACCCTACTTGCCCGGACAGTGTCGCGTGGCTTGAGGTCAAATTTAAAAGGTATTGGCTTGGCGATGAGTAAGATTGAGTAGTCGAGAGTGGGGTCCTCGGGCTTCTTGGTGATATCGCCCCATTCCAAGGGCTTGTAAGCTGGTGCTGCGGACTTTGAGGATGCAGCTTCAGATCCAGGGTATGTGTACTTGGTAAGAATCTTCTCCTCCAAGGTGTGCTCATCGTTAGTAATACCGGCGTTCAGCTCCTCGTGTGATATAGTAGCCTTTCTGTTCAAGCCATATGGATGTCCCTTCACTGACTCCGTTACGGCTAGAATGGCATCTTCAGGCCTCTTCTTGATGTCGAACAACCAAGCAATAGATCCGATTCCGATGAGAAGATCTTCGTCGGTCACGTTCTGGCCAGTGCATGTCCTCCGTCCATAACCAAACTGTGTCGAGTTGACTATAGTTGGGTATTGTGTAAGAGGTTCTTGGTATGTGGGGTATTCTGGCTTGACCCATCGAAGAGGGTTGAAAGCTTCGGGATCTGGGTACAGTTCAGGATCACGGGAGATAGCCCTGTGCAATTTAATCAGTACAGATATACACACGTCAGGAGTGATGCACTTACCATTCTAATGGGTGTATGGTGCTGCCCTTCGGGATGTGGTAGCCATTGTACTCATCATCCTGAATCAGATAGTGGGGAATACCGGTGGGGACTGGAGGACGCCAGCGGATGCACTCGCGAATGATGGCCCGCAGGAAGGGAAGGTTGGGTCGGTCCTCCGAACGAGGTAGTCGGTCGCCGCAGACTCGATCGAGTTCCTCGTGTAGCAGAGGTAGGAACTGTGGGTAATGTGTCATTGCCAGACAGAATGTCTGCATAGGAGCGGCGATGGTGAGAGCACCGGCAATTCCGTGCATGCCAACAGCATAGGCTCCTTCAGTGTCGGACTTGAAGCCCCATTTGCTGCGACCCTCAAGAAAAGTCTTCATCCATGAGGGGGCCGCTTGGCCTGACTGTATATCGCTCATCACCTGTTCTTGCATGGTCTGAAACCATGTACGTTCGGTGGTTGCACGCCGCCTTTCCCATGCCTTTGGTGGTGATAGCCAGTCGGGCAGTGTCATCAGGAATGGGAGTTTGTTACTCAGAGAGCCCGTTGGTGAGACACCAATGAGAAGTTCGCGCGCACGCTGCTTCAGCTCATCGCTGCCTTCGCTGTGACCCCAGGCCAGTCGGCATGTGACGCGTGAGATGAAAGACTCAAGAATGTGGTTGTACTGGTCGGGCTCTTCCAGCAGCTCGGTCAACATTCGCTTTGATTCGATTTCGGGGTATCGATAGAATGTAGCTTTTTCCGACTCGCGCATGATGATGTTTGCAAATTTTCTTTGGCGCGTATGGCCCTCTGTAAAGTGTTAAAGTTGAATACAAAGTGGGTGAGTGTATGCTATACCATTTCGACTGAGTAACGGAAGATATTGTGCACTCGTACGGTTGTCATCGATCAGCGACGGAATGTGTGGTCTGTCAGAATAGATGGCTGCCTTCTTGGACAACAAGTCTCTGGCGATAGCATCTGTCGAGATCCACACATGGTTGTCTCCGGCGAGGTTGCATTGGTATATGGGACCATATTGCTTGCCCCAGTCTGCAAACTTGATGAAGCCGTTCTTCTCAGGGACCTCGGGCACTGAGCCTATGATGGGGTAGCCTATGCATGTCAGTTAGTAAAGGTAATTATATGACTCTTGTCCGGGGAGTAAGCTGATCATAGATGACGTGTAAGTAATGTGACTATCGTACCTTTTGGCCCTGGTAAAGGCTTCAGACCTGTAGGTATCCTGTGACGACGAGATGCGGCCCAATGCTTGTACAGTGCGTATACACCTAGCAGGACTGCCGCTAGCAACAATGAAGGAAGACCCATACTGGCAAGCTGTGGATGAATGTAGACGATCACTGCCAAAGTGATGATTACTCGGATCACAAATACTTCAGTTCCCTACCAACGACGTGGGTGCATGAGATACTACATATAGAACCTGCGGCACTCATAGCGGGACGGAAACTGTGTGAAACCGAAGCGTGCTCGTGGCGATATTCCATGACCGAAATGGCTCTGAAAACCGAGATGCCGTGCGCCAGGCCCAGGAGGCTGCGTGTCAGAGTGGGTAGAGTGGATCACAGCCTCTAACGTGACTGATGGCTTGCCCGTAATTAGTGCAGTCGCTTGTTTGAAGCTCAGTGGTTAACCAACGACGATCCACGATGTGGCTGCGCTGAGTCTTAGGCTTCATATCCACCCAGATGTAAGATACATAGCCCTCATAGCTGATTTTGCCTGGCCTCTGACGGTCCAAGCTGATGGAGAGAGCAGCGGACGATACCATAGGGGCGATCGCCATGGGCAGAATGTCTGTCTGTTCAATACCACACGCATCATTTTACCGTATGCGGCTTGCCCCGAGACATTTGGATGTTCGGGAGACGCAAGATAACAGTAGCAACAAAAGAATAGCGAGTCGATATTGAACAGCTGCCTCTCGTTTGGGTATTAGGCACTCTGGCGGCACAAACTAAGCATGTGCGAATTGCACGCATATGCATCCCGCCGTCAGCAGCGGATTACTGGACAGCCTGCTACTCTAGATTGGGCGAGCACTTTGACAAGTGAAAAGGGTGTCAGTATTCCGGACATGGGAGCGTTGTGGGAAGTGGTAGTCGTGTGCCGGTGATGATCGTCGCGCCGGTGTACGGGACGCATGGGGCTAATCTATTTTAGGCGCTAGATGCTGGGGACGCAGATGATCGGCCGGGTTGTGGCTTCCTGAGCTCCAACCCCTGCTTGCTCCATCTGTATGGGCCAGTTCCCGTCACAAGCGACACGTGCTGTCCATGAGGAGAGCCGGTCTCAAGTCCGATGCTGGTTCCCTCCATTGCTCTGCTTCGCCTTGCCTGACATGAGCTTTTCTTGGAATGTTTCCGTTTCACCCGCAGCTGTAACCTCATCTGATCCTGAATTGGACCCTGAGGTTTATGCAGTCCGACCTAAGACAGGCGAAAACGCCTAGGACGTCGGTCAACTCAAACCCCTTCACGCCGACATCAACCCGTACCCACAGCGAGGGGCCTCTCAGGAACGCCGGCTTGCGAGACTAGGCCAGTCTCATCGCTTCTGGTTTCCAAATTCTACCATCGAGTCAAGATGCCGACACCCTTCCGGCCTTGAAACGACTATACAATCTATTTGGACCTGATGAATCGATCCCAATAATTGTGGCGTTGATAGCTTGCTTGCGGACCATCACCGCCCAACGTCTAGTAGGTTAGCCAGGCACACAATTTCCCAAGTCGGCTTCGCATTCGGGCGCTACCCCTGCCTCCGCTTCGCTTCCAAGTACCACTCTTCGACGGCGTGCCCGTCGTTCATGTCTTTAGACTTTGGGTTCAAGGCTCTCCGGGAAAGGTGATAAGGTACCTCTCTCATTCTCTGGGGGCACCCATGTATCACCGCCTCGGATTATGCACCTCATCTGCCTGCGTCGTTATCTGCACAATGGCTCCAGAGACATCATCCGGGCTCTGATCATTGGGACACTACTGCATAGCCAGCCTCTCGGGTGGCATGCCTAAATGCATGGCTGGGGTCCCAACAAAGTCTTCAAGATCAGCGATATACCGCATTTATAGGTTCAGCTGAAGGACAAACCCACCAATGGGACTAGGAAGGACATGTGGAAGCAACAGTGGACTAGTTCGCATCCACTTTTTGAAACTTTATCAGCCTTGATGTGCCATGTACCAGCAACTTTCAAACCAGCTATCCGGTTCAAGGCATTGGTGACAATAACGTCACACAAAGTTTGCCCGATCTGTGCTCATTGCTCGCCCGCAAGCTCATGCTCACAACGGGCCGCCCATACCCGATGACTTGGTTCCGGTCCTGTCTGGTGTTCCGGTAGAGATTGAAGACCAAAGTCCTCGTACGAGAAGTACAAAACTTCGTACACAGTGTATTTTACACGACATATAGGACCCCACAGCTTACAACATCTCATAACTGTCACAGCTTATAGCTCAGCGGAGCTCGTGACCTACCCCACTTCCTTGGATGCAGGGTAAGCTGCACGTCTGTTGCTGGTTGCGTCTGTTGTGGAACGTCATGGACTCGAACATAATTCTTGAAGTACACAACGTCGAACACGGCATGAATGCCTACACTAGAAGCGGAGTAGGTGTCGCTCCTACGACAAATGCTACACCCCCATGAAACCTCAAATAAGTCTGCCTCATGCGTAAGCTTGTTGTTGTTGTCATATTATCTCATCCGCAAAACAGAAAGCAGTGAGGGACTTTCGTGTCTGTCAGCTATGGCCACCGAGTTCTCCGCACTGCCCCAGTACCAAGTGTCAGTCTGACTCCATCTCCAGTCCCAGCATTAACTTCAACGGGCCATAATCTTGCCGAAAAGGTGGTCTGTGGAGTAATCAGTAGCCGGGGGTATTTGTTCACTATGACGTGTTCACACCACAAAAGGTGATTTTAATGGAGTATCCGCGCTGGGAGATGAACTAACACATTTCCATAAATACCTGATTATCAATCAGCTCCCCGCTTTGCTCGAGCGTATATGAGCAGATTCAATATGCACGTCTTCAGCAAACTGTGGCCTTCGCCACATGATGATTTCCATAGTTTTGCAGCTACCATTATATGTTCGGGATCATTGTGTAGTAATGCAATATATTGTGGTTACTGCTATCTTTGTTAACTCAAGAGCCGACACAGTGGGGAGAAGCCCAGAGAAAGTCGCTGAGACATCTGACAAGCTTCGAGCTGTTGTCGCGTGACATGATGAGTAATACTAGGGCAGTTGATCGCCATTCCAGCAGATGGTATGTAAATACGGTGAATACTGATACTTGGATCGCGATGTGAACCATGCCATTGTGGAGCCTCTACATCGTGGTGCAAAAACTGGTCGGCGACTATGTGAGGAAATGCGTGACAATGCAGGTGTGGTTCGAGGTTTGAGGACGTCCATAGACAAGATTCTGAGTCTTTGAGTCTTGAACATGAATCGAGATGAATGGAGAAGACGATTGGAATGCGAATGCGTGGTCCTGGGAGGAGCTCATAGTACTGGTATTCCATTTTAGGTACCACTCAACCCGAGCTCTAAAGACCCTGATGTATGCTTAACCCCTTTATGATAGTACCTGTTGCCACATCATGCAGTTCCCCACACATAGAGCAATGACGGGCTGGCAAAGCATGTCGGACTGCACATGACTAGAGGTGTCCATAACGTCCAACACGGAAACAGTTCCAAGGCAAACCAAGTGTGAACTGCAAAATGCCGGGTTATCTGGAGCTTATCCAGTGCCGAGCGAGAGAAAGTGGGCCGGTCGAAAATAGTAAATCAATGAACGATGGTCCCGGTTGTTCTTTCCGCACTTTAACATTTCGCTTCGCACTTTATTTGGGAGACAGGTCAAGTCTGAGCCCTCGCCTATCGCAAGTCAAACGTTATCGCTATACGACCGATTGCACACTTTTTCGCATTTGCCATGGCTGATTCGCAATACGTCGTCATCGAGGGCCTGCCGACGCCACAACTTTACCATGACTTGCGCAAATTCGCTGGAATGACACCCCCACCACTAGAAGCTGTACCCAAATCCCTGGGCAACTCCTTCGCTTGCTTCGTCGCTTATGAGCGCAAGCATATGCTCAGCGATACCACTCCCGGCTCAAACCAGGACGCTGTCGCAATGGGGCGATTGGTAGGCGACGGGTCGCTGTTCCTCATCTTGGTCGACGTTGCGGTGCATCCGGATCATCAGCGCAGAGGGCTGGGAAAACGCATCGTGCAGAAACTTGTCGACTATGTGGATGAGCATGCGCCACTGGCATATGTGAGCATGGTCGCAGAGCCGCTTGCACAGAAGTTGTATCCTCAGTATGGGTTCAAGGACGTGAAGCCGAGCATTGGCATGTACAGGATGATTAGGCCCAGAAGCAGTGTAAATGTGCCGGCCATGGAATCAGAAGAAAAAGCGTCGTAAAACATTCAGAGGTACATGGCAACGTTGTAAGCCTTGGATCAACATAGACATGGGACGGAACTCCGGTGGTCTAAGGTGTTTCTATGCGGCTGAAGCTCGGACGAGAGCAGCAGTGGGGAAAAGATCCAACCTATGGCGCTGGGCGGACTCGTACTCCAGTTCACAACTCTAGATTTTGTGTTGCGGATTGCGCGCCCGACTCCTGTATGTTGAAGCGGCGCCTCTGAGCGCGCTGACTACCTAGGTAGAAATGTTATCCATGGCGCTGACTACTGGCCTGTCCCCTTCACCGCCACAGGAGACTGAAGAACAAGATGGCCCACTCTCCGTATGTACAGATGACATGGACTCGACCTTAGCCCCGTTCCGCATGTATCCCTCCCCGCCAGCTATTCAGACCGTTGGTCTTTATTCAACATCGCTCCAAGACATGCTGACGCGAGTTCAAGAGACTGCAATCACTCCCTAGCGAACTCCTCCAGCTCATTGTCGCCTACCTCGACACGCGCACGCTCAAGGATGTCGCCCTCGTTTCCCATACCCTCAATCAACATGCGACAGACAAACTCTGGCAGAATGTCTGTTTAGCCGATCAATGGAAGCTACATCTGAACGAGAAGACGGACCAAGTATGGGGCGATCGTGGCCACGGCGAGTCTGATGAGCATGACGACACCCCCATTATCCAGAAACTATACATACTGGCGACGTATGTTACACAATCAATAGAGGGGTCGTGTTCTAACGTATTCAGGAATCCGACCATTGCCTCCAAGGTCCACGTTGTAACACACCGCTGTCATCTACCTACACCGAATATATTCAACGAACTTCCGCGAATGAGCTTCGACGCCGAGAACCTCTCGCAAGATGCTCGCATACATGTTCTGGTTAAGCTTGCGCTTCGAAACTTGGTCAATGTACACACCCTGAGGATTGTCTATGGCCACTGGAAACTCACAAACACCCTGGTTGCGGGGTTCCTCGATGAAAGTCGACCCCGGCGCGTACCCCTGCGAAAACTATGGTTGGAGAGCTGTTGCTTCGATACAGGCACGCTGTACTGGTTTCTACCGAGCCAGACAACTGGGCTTGAAAGCATTCGGCTGCGTAGGCTTGGAAACGCATCCTTTGATCTCATACCACGACAACGCCTCAATTTCATGGAATTCAAGCTAGCTCGAGGCGGACATTACATCCAAATGCACAACGGTGCGGGTAGTTTTGTTGGAACCACAGTCCAAGTCGCACCAGACGGTTTGCCACCACGATATGCCCGGCCGTCAATAGGGGAATTGGTGGACAGGGGCAAAGCATTGGATGCCGCAATATGGGAAGAGCTTTGGGAGATTAGGGAATATATAGATGCCAACCCGGTCAACTTGGACCCTAGGATATCGGAGGCACCCCCGCTCGACTCCAGACCGCTCACCGAGTGGATTATCGCCTGCTCCACATCTACCCTTACAAGTCTGAATTTGGACTGGATACACTGGCGGAAGAAGTGGAACTCGCATTATGAATCCGCAAACTCTAGCCTGTTCCTAACCTCGCTCAGCAAACTGCGGTTCCCTCAGCTCCGTGCGTTCCAGATCCGTAATGCTGTGATGCCGCTCACGAGACTGCCCGATGGTATTTACCTGCTAGAAGATACCTTCCTAGGCTTCCTAGAGGCCCACCTTAAGATACAATGTCTGGGCTGGCCGATGGACAAGGTTTACAGCCACGTAAAGCCGTCCGTCGACGTGCAGAACCGGTCACGGAAGCTAGTTGCTCATCTAGCAACAATGTTGACGGATCTTCGCGTCGACGCACAGTATATGAGCAGCGGTGAACCACTCACAGACGACTGTGCAACAACAAGAGAGGTCCAGGAACGGACACGTCGTCACCGCTTCATCGCAGAGTTCGTACCGCACATGCGAAAACTCGAGCAAATCAAGATAGAAGGCGGAATACCACGAGACGAAAAGCGCGAACTACTCCGCGCCCTACACTGGTGTTCGCTAAAGAAGATTGTCATGATAGGCGTCTCGTTCCCCGTAGGAAACACTTGGGGAGCAGGGGCCCAACAACTCAAAGAAGTCGACCCAGGCCAAAGCGCCTCAGATTTCGTCTACAACCTCGAAGAAGAAGATGGAGCAGGTATCCTAGCCGCCTACCGCCGCGGCTTTCCTATGCTCTCAGACTTCCAATTCGAACCAGACTACGGTTGGCCCCCACAAGCGCCTCTCCTACAAACAATTGCCCTGCATCACGCCTCCACAGTCGAAGAGCTCAAAATCTGCGGCTGCAACGGCTGCCCCATCCTCTCGTATCCAAACCCCATTACAAACCCCTTACTCGCCGGCCTCCGCTCCTTCGACAACCTAAAACAACTCGTCTTGTCCTTTTGGCTACTGACGTGGTACGAGGATTCTTACAGAGACACGGAGATTATACAGTCGTGGTTAGATGTGCGGTCGCCTTCTTCTACGGCTTTGACTGTAGTCACACCCCCCGCGTCTCCTGCTCACGATCAAGCCGTCGACCCGGGACAATACCCTACTTTTGCTAATCCGCGTGTTCGTCCGCGGCCTCAGGAATTCAATCGTTGGGCTGTTGCGCTCAAGACAAAGTTCTCGCCCTCTGCGCTGGCGTATCGAGTGGCGAGGGATATCGGGCCCTTCTTGAGTCCGTTGGCAAAGGAGCGCAAGGGTGGTGTGAGGGTGAGGGGCAGTTTCTGTCTGGGTGTCAAGGACGAGAGGAGGGTTGCTAATGACATATTTGACTTGGATATTAGAATTGGGAGCGGAGATCAGGTATTGGAATTTGTGGGGCCGAGGGAGGAAGGGGAGACGGGAAGGTGGTGGACGAAGCTTGAGCAGAGGCGCTGGTTTTGAGGGGAACATTTGGGTGGTTGGACGTGGGTGTTCTTGGTGTTGGATGTAATGTGCTCTTTGAAAAGTCCGACTGTTTGCTCGTAAATAGGGATAATTTGATCAGCTAAATTAGTGTAAACATAGGTATCAAATCCAGCATGCAGCAACTGCTAGAAACCTCGGATTAGACTCAAAGTGCAGATGGAGTTGGAATTAGCTTGACCCAACGTGGAAGTGTTCGACGAATTCTAGTCTTCTCTTCGGTCATTCATCCCAAAAGTGTAGTCTCAAAGAAATCGGACATGGTAGCTGGCTTGATTCATGCTTTCATTTCGTGACAGAACATGATGAAATTTTTCCGTAGTTATGCCTCCAGAGCTATACGCTCAAACGGTGATGCCATCCTCATTCGTCATGTGGGATGGACAGCAACCGGGAGAGGGATGACAGAACGCCCCATGCCGAGCAATACCATTTGCCTGTAAGAACCCGCTTTCCGATCATGCATCCGTCCGAAGGGCCTTAATCGCGCCTCTACGCCATCACGTCCTCAACTCTTCGCCCGATTCGTTTATGCGGCCTTGACGGTGGGGCCCTTGGCTCCCTTGGGTGCGCCGGTTTGGAATCCGTTGCTGAACTTGCGGTTGACGGTCTTGAGGTATCGCATGCGGCCGGTACCGGTGGTCTTCCTTCGCTTGGCCTTCTCGCCCCAGTTGACTGTGCCATGTTAACATCCGCATCTACGACGCACGTAGAGGTTTACATACACTTGCGGGTCTTAGCAGCAGGGTAGCCGCATGAGGCGCAGGTGTGTTTCTGGATGTGGAGGGAACGTTGACCTAAGCAGCTCCTGTCAGTCCTTGTTCGCAATCTATCTGGCTTCTGCCCAAGCCTCTGCTACCTCAATGCCATCATCTGGGGGAGAATCACGTACCGCAACGCCTGCAGAGCGTGTGCGTCTTGTTGTGGCGCTTTCCGAAACTGGAGGTACCCTTCGCTATATCGTAGTCAGTCTCGCAGCTCGTGTGGACGATGTGGGTGGGAGCGTGACGTACTCATTTTGGCTGGGGACTAGATAGAACAATTATTAGTGAATGATCAGTATTTCACGGCATCTAGGAGCAGCATACCTTGTGACGCTGTTGTTAGTATCGGAGGTGGTGTTGTCGGGTTGTCGTGCGCTCTCGAAGTTGAGGCTCGCTAACCGAGCGAATTTCGACAATTGTGTGGAGCTAGTCTACTTGGGGCTTGGCGCTGTGGGCTCAGAACGCGAAACACCAGAGCGAAGGACTTCGGAAACATGCGGACCCTCAACACGATCAACACGACGAACAAAGTTCAGGAGAGTACGAGCACTACTGAACACGATTGACAAAGTTCGAAAGTACGAGCACCATGTCGACTGAATCGAGATGATTAAGTATTAATCTCTCCGGATGTCGATACGACAGTAGACGATACCAATCCTGCGTACAACCATCCCGGGGTCTCTGTAGCAGGTAGAGCAGGGCCGACAATTTCCTACTTCTCACTTCAGTTGGTTGCGAAATGGTGTTTCGAGTGATGGGCAGTAACTCTACATATCTCCTTGGATCTCCGGATTACACGAGCGGCAAGTTGGACAGAATCAGCATAAGATCGGCGATAAAATGCGGTATCAACTGCGATACCCAACATCTATGACGTATCCGAAGAGTATGCGGCCATATGGCCATCTGTGTCGCTTGAGGAATTTCTTGGAGCCTGTCACAGATACATGTCGTCAATATCAAATGATATCACGTTCAGCCGCTTCGTCGAGTTGGTCATCTGGTCGACCTCTGAGTTGCGCGTACATGTCCAGGTGCTGGTTTCGGCCGTACGTTGGAAGCCAGTACTTGGCCTTTTGATCACTTGGCTTGTAAGGCTTGTAGTCCAGAATGCTTTCGGCCATCCTCATAGCAAAGCATACGTTGGGGGTATCGGGGCATGTCGTACCATGTGGCTCGCATTTGTCTACATAGGCAGGCCCCCACGAGGGCGCCAGAAAGCTGTTAACAATGCTGCATCCGACGCTTACTGGTTACTGTTATACCATCGCACTGGGCTATCCCGGGGTGAACGCCATGCTATCCCAACAGTGTGGACCGTGGCGCCTGGACCCTGATGATTTCGCACCATAATTCCAAGCTTTCTCCATGGCAATGACTACAATGACCAACGGAGATTTGAGTAGTGCCATGAGTATTGAGACAGCAGGGGAGAGTTTGGAGTTGTGGCTCGCGTGCGGTCGGCCTATCACAAGCGACAGCTGACCTCGTGCTCGTATCTTGTGGTGTAACCGACGTCGTATTTTGGTGTGTAGCCGACGACGCTTTCCGCACGGCATTCATGCACAATTTTTGCGGAAAGATCCTCGTCCAACCCGCCGGTCCATCCAATTGAGGATGAGCGACATGACATTCGATCTTCGTGCTCTCTGCCGGCCGCCCGGCATTGACCGAGCGTTCACAGAACATAGTAAGCTCTCTCCGAGCACGTTGTCGCAGGCCTTAAATCGGTACCCAATGCATATCAGGTCTGACAGGCTGCCGTGCGGGTCAGCGTGTTACCTGTATATACTCTGCGGCTGACGGGTTGATATAGCCTTTGTCATCCTATCATTTCCCATGAACAACCATAAACTGTGGTGGACCCCTTCCCTCCAAAGCACCCATATCCGCTGCTACTAATGCCTTCATTCGGGCGCGTGGGTAATGCTGCTTACCGAGATGTACCCGGGGTCTATGTAACTGACATGGTCGGATTGGCAATATACCGTTACTGATCAGGCTACCAGACTCATATCGCGGACCCAAACGAGCGTCGGCGCATGGCCCTTGCCGAGGTCGACAAGGCGCCGTTCGGATGGTATCATATCAGACTTGCCGTTGTCACTGGTATTGGCTTCTTCACAGATGCGTACAGTGTATGCAAGAACAGGATCGAACTTGATTGAAGCTAGGCTGACAGTTACCAGCTATTCGCAATCAACCTTACCGTCATACTACTAGGCATAGTATACTGGCAAGATGAAGTACACCACGGAGTTATGCCTCATCATGCCGACACCGCAATCAAGGTTGCAACATCTGCCGGTGCGATATTCGGTCAATGCTTTTTCGGTTTTTTGGGCGATTATCTAGGCCGCAAGAGAATGTATGGTGTTGAGCTAATGATAATCATTTCCACAACACTTGCGCAGGCGCTATGTGGAGAGTCAAAAACACTATCGATCGTTGGGGTTCTTATATTCTATCGGGTCATCATGGGTATTGGAGTAGGTGGTGATTGTGAGTACACTCCTCAGTACCTCCTTTAACTGTGTTGGGACACCAGAAATTGCACAGGCTCGCCTTTTTTAAAAGTAACAGTCTGACCATCTCAGATCCACTCAGTGCGGTCATTACCGCAGAGTTCGCCAGTACCCGATATCGTGGAGGTATTATAGCCTCCGTCTTCGCCATGCAAGGTCTTGGCCAACTCGCTTCTGCCTTGGTTACTCTAGCTGTAGTCAACGTCTACAAAAGAGACTTGATGACGGTAGCCGGTGTTGGCGAATGTGTAGGCCAATGTGCCTTGAACGTGGACAAGATGTGGCGTATCATCATTGGTTTTGGCGGTATTCCCGGCTGGTTCGCACTGTACTACCGACTCACTATTCCGGAGACACCGCGCTACACTTTCGACGTACTAGATGATGTGGAGAAAGCGTCAGTAGACGCAAGGAAGTATCGCTATGGTAGTCAAGGGAACGTACTCGATCCCGTCAGCCAGGCAAGAGCACGCAACGAAATGGCAAAGTACAAAACTCCGCGGCCAACGTTCATGGAAGTTATACGCTTCTACTCGCAAAAGAAACAAGCGATACGCTTGTTCGGCACTTCAATGTCTTGGTTGTGAGTAGTATCCTATCTGACCAGCAGAACATCTTGAATGCTGATAACAACAAGCTTCCTCGACCTCGCCTTCTACGGCCTAGGCTTCAGCTCCCCCTCCCTCATTTCCACCATGGGTTTCAACCGTCGCGATAACCTCTATGTCTACCTCCATAACACGGCAATCGGCCAAGTCGTCCTCATATGCGCTGGTGCCCTCCCCGGCTACTGGCTCACCGTCTTCACCGTCGACACCATAGGCCGCAGGAAGATTCAAATAGGGGGGTTCGGAATTCTCACAATCATATTCTGCGTTTTGGGCTTCGCATGGCATGGACTCAATAAAATGCATCTTTTGGTGCTTTACGTCCTGGCTCAGTTCTTCTTCAACTTCGGCCCAAACGCAACTACATTTATCAGTCCCGCGGAAATCTTCCCGACGAGGGTCCGGTCCACGGGTCATGGGTTCAGCGCTGGCATGGGTAAGCTAGGAGCCGTGTTTGCTCAGATCTTCTTTGCGCCAATGATCAAGAGGGGTGCGACGCATGATAACCCCACGCCGTTTATCCACGGCGTCATGTCCATCTTCGCGCTCTTCATGTTCCTCGGCATGCTGACTAGTTTTCTCGTGCCAGAGGGAAAGCGTGCGAGTCTTGAGACTTTGGCTGGCGAGAAGGAGACGGTATATGAGTTGCAGGCGAGTCAGTGGCGGAATGGGGGTGTTGCTGCGGCGGGGTCACATGCGGGTGATAGTGCGAGAGCAAGTGGGGAGGTGGGTACGGGGTATGGGTATTCAGCAGCGGTCATAGCGAGGGGGAGTGGGAGCGCGAGTGCGAGAAGTGTGGACAAGCATTTCGAGGCCGAAGTCGGACATGGTCATGCGGAGAAGAAGTGGTGGCGGTTTAGGCCCGGGGAGGGGCATCCGCATGCTGTTTAGATATGTTTTCTTTTGTTGTAACTATACGTATTGTCTCCAAGTAAAGTGTTTAACACATTTGGCCTTCTCTTTTCTGCATTACTTCTTATGTAATAGTTTCTATAACCCTTTTCAATTTCGTCCTCGTTCAAGAAAAAATCAATCCACCAACCTTAGCATTCACTATAATACAGTTTTGCAATTTCTACAAAGAAACAACAGAAAATACTAAAACATTATAAAAACAGCACGTAGCAACATCCGACAGACGGAAATCTCCACAAATCACACGATCACCGAATCGGCTAGCATCGGATAACGGCCTTACTCAAACACAACACATGTGGCCTTTTTGAGGGTAAGCACAACTAAGAACGAGAAGGTAGTTATTCCGAAACACAGTCAATCGAATTGTCAGCTCGACAGGCGTCAGACACTAAATTACAATCGTACCTCTTATTCCGAGTTGGAGCTGCCCACAGAAGAAAGCGGATATCTCCAGTAGTTCTCTCATTCACTATGGTACACTAGCGGCCTCTATTAATAGCGTGTGACTTGTGATACTTGGGATGGCGTTTTCCGATTGTAGACAACACAATAACATAATACCAAATCACAATTGCGGCCACTTAATGATGTGAACATAAGGAGCCAGATCTTTCACCCTTGGGCTTCTGGCCCGTTGTTTCATGTTTTGGCTGAAAGGATCTTGATTTGGTCATGTCAAAGTGGTGATTGATTTCTAACCTAGTCTTTGTACCAAATGGTCCAATGCCATGCTCGCTATATATGCTGCACAAATATAAGGGACCATACATCTATACAGCAGATGATTTCCAGAATTTTGGAATTCGGTATGCCACACACATGTATATCGCCTTACATCGTCAGTTCACCTCTAACAAGGCAAACATCTGATTGGATTACAATCTCTCTAGTATTGGCTGCTCGCTGCCTGACACGCCTTGAGCTGGTCCAAATACCACCCACAGATAGTCAAACTACCCTGGTTCTCGTCCATGCACTTGCGGAAGCTCTGGACATCGTTTGCGCAAGGTCCCGACTGTGCCATTTGAGCGGACGCCGCACCAGCGGGCTGGTGCTGAGCAGCGAACTCAGTGTTTTGGGGCGCAGCGTCGGCGGGGGCGGAGGATCCGCCGCTGAACCAGCCGCCGACTGCGTGGCCGATAGAGGAGCCTACTGCGACCCCACTGGATTGGTTGTTAGCACGCTGTTTAGACATGGTCGAGTTTTCCCTAGAGGGATTGAACATGCATGCCTGGGACTACTTACGCAGCGGTGCTAGCCATCTGTCCAAAAAGACCCGGTCCTTGGGGAGTAGCCTGTGCGGGGGGTGTTGCGCTGCTGGTAGCTTGCTGGGCAGGCGCAGCAGCTGTCGAGTGTGGGCGCGATGAAGCGGGCGCGGGCGCAACGGTGGCTTGCTTTGCCGGGACCTGCGGGCGGCGAGGGGGAGCGGTTCCGGAGCGTTGGCGAGGCATGTTGATGGATTGATTGCGACGGGATTGATATGGTGATGAGTTGTGGTGATGTCGACGTGGTGTACAAGTGAGGACTTTGCGATGGCAAATTCAATGTTCAGGTGGTAAAGTTCCGAGGTTCGAGAAACATCGTCGTTGCTAGCGCATTTTAGACGGCTTGGCGCGTGCGTATCGACTGGATGTTGATTGGCCCTGTTGTCTGTCACTCTCATTAGTGTCATCCTGATCTCTGGCTTGTTGTGAGGAAAGAATCAGGAAGCACAAAACTAATGCTCATGAGCATACGAATTTTATCTCTTTATATCTGCCGTGCTTATTGCTATAGCAAATGTTCATACGCGTTGTGTGATGTCGTATCTCCGAGGCTTCTCGATATCTATCCTTCGCAAGGTAACGACCTAGCATACATCTTCAATCTCCACGTCGCCACCAGAGCGAGGACCCAGATCAGATCGCAGGGTGCGATTGAACAGCTCTTTGAGCATCTCGAAACAGATGCCTGATAGCGCAGCGTCGTAACGTCCCTTACTGAGCTCGTCGCGAATGAATGCATCTATTACGTGTTAGCATATTAATTGCGTCTATAAAGATATACTCACGCTGCGCCCAAGCTGGCTCGTAGAATGAAAAGGTAACACCCGCTTCGTGTAGCGTCTTCCTGATCAGATCGCGCCCTCGGGTGGCACGTGGTTATCCATTTT